ATTACTTTTGGGTGTAAGTAATCAGTAAAGTAACTGAGTTACTTTTGAAATGAAGTAATTAGTAATGGTAACTAGTTACTGGTTTTCAGTAACTAGCACAACACTGCTTTTTACAGTATTACAGCTTCCACAGATGAAATTATTTTTTCATGGGTTTGTTGTCAAAGCACTTAAAATATTCATTGCTATCTGGATGTTAAGAGCATTCCATGGAATATAACAAAAAGTGTATCTCAAGCCGGTTTCTCAAACTTACCTACCCCACATTTAATAGACATTTCAGGAAATAATTATAATGTACTGAATGTCCAATCAGCGCTGCTCCATTATCAATACACTCTCCTTGTGAGCTACTTCACAGGAATCTTGGGGTGATATCTTTGCACTTCACCATGAGTTGTGAATCTGAATGATTCATATATAGCTGACATATATTATGATATATATATTGATATATTAAGCATAATATTTTAAACAGTAATGATTTTGTAATGTATATTTCAACACATAACTATTCATCTAACAAGTTAATAATCCAAAAGCTACATGTGTTAAGGATGACAGGAAACCCTTTCCTGTGGGGTCTGATAAGAGGTGTTATATAGTCATAATAGTCATTACCAGTGTGGTTATATTGACAGTGGAAACCTGAATATTATGAGCAAAGACAGTCTTTTAGCTTTAGTGATTGATTTTTTTGTTGTTGTTATGTCACCCTGCAAGGTGAACAGACCGTTGCACAGGACTACACTATGTACACAGTAATATCAATCCGCAGAAAGAAGTCCGGTAACTTTAAAATCAGCTTTGGACAACAAACATTTGCTTTCTCAATCAGAAAATACCATTGAATACTTTTTTTATATGTTCATTTTTATATTTGTGGAGAGCACTAAACTTTGGATTCATGATAAGATGAAAAGAAAAGCCCAAGAGAAGGACACGGTTAAAAGATAGAGTGCTGGAGGTCAGAGAAGTCACCAGAAGCAGACAGATGGGAAGAAAACTCGAACCGCAACAAGAAATGGGCTCTGGCTGTGTTTTAAGACTGGTTACTGGAAAAGCAAATGTAAACAGACCTTGACAGTTACAGAAAACCACGCTCATAGCTGCGGTCGTTCTAGGTTACGTTGCTGTTGCCGCAGTTCAATTTGTTGGTACGCCATGAAAAAGACTATTATTGTATTAGCGGTAGCAATACGTCATTTTTAAATCAATAAAATCATTCTAAATCCATATTTTGAGTCAAATCATGGGTTTATTAATTGTGCAGCCGCTTAAGAAGCTGGCTTGCTCAGCCTGTCGGTGTATATTTTTCATTGAAAAGGAAATATTTAGATTTTGTGTCTCTTCTGTGACATGTTTACCTGCTTTAATGTTCAAAGAAAGAAAAACTCCCTCTGGAGGGAACCTTGGGATTTTAGCCTTTGCATACACAAAACCTATAAATGGGGCCCCTTTAATGACTGCCTCGTTGCACAGAATCATTTACAGATGAGAGAATGAAATGGCTGGCTAATGTATTTTGAAATGACCGTTGCCTGAGAAGCAGAAGCAGCACAGAGACATACGGATTATTTATTGGCAGAGGTTGCAAGATACAGTATCTAACAGCACCGTTGTCTAGAGTTGATGGATAGTTGGAAACTTGTGAGGAGTCTTTTCTGGAATCTGGATGTGTGGCAGGTCTGCACAAAACAGAGTCCTCACAGCAGTTTATTGTGACTGCCTCAAACACTCCACGGTATGTCCACACAGCGGCAAAAGCTTGCCGGCGGGCGTGTCTGAAGCTCGACCAACAACCAATCACATGAATCTCCCGCCCCTGGTGCACAAGCAGCGGTTTGATTGGCTAGAGCTTGTACTGGCATATGATTTGATTGGCTGACGCTTCCACCGAAACAGAGCCTCAAGATACTAATAGTATTAGTATCTCTAGGGCTCTGCACCGAAAGCTTCATAAGATTCAAAAGTTGAACATTGCTCAACTTTTGAATCCTGAGATGCCTGGAAATCTCCGTTTTGCTTCCCACAATGCAGTTTGGCGAAAAGTGAGGCAAAGTGACGTCACCCCATTCAAAGTGAATGGGCAGAAGCGTTGGAAGATTTTTTGAACGCTGCTGTGTGGACATACCGTTAACATCTAGGGATTTAAGTTGAGTTGCTTCCATAGGTGTCATTTACACTGGGCACCATTTGTCTAAGTTACTTTTATGGTAACACTTTGTGGTAAGGGTACATGAGTCATCATGAATTCATGCATGGAAAAGCATGAATTAATTCATGTAGTACTTCATGAACTATCAGTAATGTACAAGGATTAATATTACATCATGCATGACTTAATGCAGGAACAATACCGTAATTAATGCATCAACTAAGGAATCTCAATCATCATGACTTCTGAGTTATTAATGATGTTCATGTCTTCTTCATATAGATCTGCCGCTAATGTGACAGGCCAAAAAACTGACTGTATCATACAGTATTATCTTAAAGCTCACAACCCATTTAAGATTTAAACCATTTGGATTATAATTTATAATCCAAAGCCAACAAGATCACATTTTCACATATCATGTCACGTAAGAAAGCAATAACATTTTTCGGCAAAGACACAAGATACATGGCAATAGTGAAGTTAATAGTAAACCATACCATGTTTATATTGTTGAATTATTTGTGATTTTAACTCGACCACATCAGCTAAAATGCACTGAAATTACTTGCATATAGATCATCAGGGATTTATCTTTCAGAAAAAAACACCTGACTCATACGTAATGATAATAGATGTGAGGCACGAACAGGGGCTATCTTGAAACGTCCATCTTCTTCATATCTGAAGTCAGTGAGCTCTTGGTGGTTCAATCAGGGAAACATGACCCGAATGTACTTCAGTCAACGACCGAGAGGTCCTTTCTTATGCCTGTTTCCAAGCCAGTAAGTCCATTCTATAACTGTAAGATGTTCTTTCAAAAGTTTCTCAGTTCGGTTTCCCCAAAGCCACCAAATTATTGATAGTTAATCAAGATTACAACACTTTGAATTCAACAGAATACATGCACTGCTGTGACCGACAGACCGGGTCACCACTTGATTTGAAGGGGCACAAACATGATGAAGTAATGACAAAATAATGCTTAGTTAATCATGATTACAACACTTGGAATTGCTGTGACTGGTCAGTTTTTTGGCCTGACACTTTAACTGCAGATCTATATGAAGAAGACATGAACATCATTAATAACTCAGAAGTCATGAGGATTGAGATTCCTTAGTTGATGCATTAATTAAGGTATTGTTCCTGCATTAAGTCATAAAGGAGATACTATTAATCCTTGTACATTACTGATAGTTCATGAAGTACATGAATTAATTCATGCATTAAGTCATGCATGAATTCATGATGATTTATGTACCCTTACCATAAAGCGTTACCACTTTTTTAAAGCATTATTCGTTAACAAAAATGTAAAAAAAAATTGTGCATCAAGAAATGTTAACTAACCTTACATTTAAGTTTTGTAGAAAGATAAAGAATTGTGTCATCTGTTTTTAAAGAACATTTTGAACATGTAAACGTGTCACACTTTTCAGATGTGTAATTAAGTAGATTATTTATTTATACATAATTTATAATCAGTAATATTGTGTATATCAATTTGACACTGAATCATTTTGTATTGTATAATAATTCTCATGTTATATTTTTTGTATTATTGTTTTATACATCCGAAATAAATCAAATCAAATAGTTGAAGCACTTACTACAAATATGAATCTGAAAATGTGCATTACAGGGCCCATTAAATGATCTTCTACAGTATGACCTCAAACTGATTGATATCTTAGAATATACGTTTAGTATAATCAGGATTTTAATTGTTGTTTGAACAAAGCAAGACATTTAGAGTTGAGCGTGAAGTTCATAATTTACCTTAGATACAGTAAGGGATATTAACTCAAGGTGTATTTAAAAAAAAATGTCATTCACATCTCACAGTCTTCCTCAGCAGTTACCAGAAAAACAGCAGCAGCACAGTGACTAAGGATTATTTCCTGGCTGAAGAAAAAGGTGACGGATAGTCGGAAAATCACTTTGGAGGAGAGTGGAAACAGAACTTGGATGTTTTGCAAGTCTGCCCGGGCAGGATAAATGGTTCTCACAAGCAGTTTGGTCCGATTTCCTCAAACGCTACATCAAAGTCTCGCAGGGATTCAAGTGAAAGCTGAGTTGCTTCTGTACTGTCCTGGGAGTAAGACACCTCATGGTTAAAATAATGATTTCTCTGCAGGTTGTTGTACCCGTAATGCTAGCCTAGTTTGTGACATCTAATGACATGTTGAGGAAATCGTTTTTTTGGTAAATAACTCAACATTTGAGTAAATATTTAGGCAATTATTTTTGTTCCAATTTGGATTGTTGAGACATTTCAAGTTGAGTTAACATCTTGAAACAATCTTAACTCACAACCTTCAAGTTTGCTCAGACTAAGTGTTGGTTTCTGCTCAATCAGTACTTTTGTACACCCCTTGTTTTTAATACAAGTTGCCTGACTTCTTTGGAAATTCAAAAGGGTTTATAGACGGTCTGAATGTCGCAGTCGAAGTGCGTCATATAGAGTTATGCAACTTGATTAAATATGTTTCAAATGACATGTTTACCATTTGTTCTTGAAGGCATGAACAATGTTGCACATAGTCGTTCATGTGAAGAGTGAGAACATCAGAGTGTGTCATGGGACTGTGTTTCACTCATCAGAAGAGAAGCACTAAGGAAACATGCTGCCATCATAGCAACAGTGACCTTTATCACAGATCTTTGTTTATGTGTGGGTGGAAATGTGTATCATCAAAGAGCGAGCTACAAGACAAACTGTTTCTGACAAAGTGAAACATTTATACGTTTTTAAAGTATACTTAATGAAAGATGTTGTGTTTTAAAGGACAAATTCTGGGTTGTAATCGATGTCTTTGTTTGTCTTTTCTTCTTTCAGGGGATAATAATGGATGGCCACATCTTTTCGACAAGTATTTTGGGATGCCCAGCTACAACACTGGAACAAAGTCCCATATGTGCTGTAAGTATTCTGTTCCTCGACTGCAAAATAACACCCACTCTAAATAAATCAAAGCTGTTATGGCATTGGCTGATAACTTGTCCTTGATTTCAGTGCTGTCCTGCAGTATTTTCCGATTCACAGAAACTCAAAGGGTTGCTCAAAAGCCTTTTGATCACCAGCAGCAGTTCTGATTCAACCGGGTGTATTACCACCAGAGTTGGACTGTAATAATATTACATTTGTCGGTAACGGAGTAGCGTAACGGCCCGTCTACACTACAGGCATAAAAAAATCTTGAAGCTGGGCGTGTCTGAAGCTTGGTGATTTTTTTGCGAGCAACGCGACCAACAACCAATCACATGAATCTCCTGCCCCCGACATACAAAGCAATAGCAATGTTAAAACGAAGTAAACTGGATATAAAATCCCCAAACAGACGAAAACCTACCAGTTTCACCCACTGTCTCTGCCACCTCCCTCCATGCCTGGTTCCTCCGGTTTGTATCCCGGTAAATAGTCTGGTCGGAAAGAACCGGGTGATTTGCTACCGTAATTTCTCGTTTGGAATATGAGGAAATGAACTGCGGTCCGGCTCTCCCAGCTTGCACGCGGTTTGATTGGCTAGCGCTTGTACTGGCGGGAATTGCAAAAACGGGATTTCATTGGCTGACGCCAGCTTCGAGCAAGCATCGAGCCTCAAAAGTTGAACATTGTTCAACTTTTGACGCCGATAGACGCTCGCGATGCCTTGCCATGCTACCCACAATGCAGTTCGGCAAAGTTTGAAAATATCCTACGTCACCCCATTCAAATGAATGGGCGAAGCGTTGAAAGCATTTTTTGACGCCTGGAGTGTAGACGGGCCGTTAGTCGCGTTGCTTTTATAAATGCAGTAATCACACTACAGTTACTAACATTGCCCGACACGCGTTACTTCACTTTTATAAATTCAGTCACACTACAGTTAGCCTACTAACCTAAAGATGTACTAGATTCTCCCTTTGACAGACACGAGGGGTTTCCCCCCGCAGGTTTATATTTACGTAGGCCTAACATTTGCGCGACTTGCGCGTCCACATGCAGTGCATAAACATGGCTGAGTCATCATCAACAGCGATAACTTTCGAGGGGTGCAGGTATGCCATGAGATTCTATCTCAATGCTTTTATCTGGTTAAATAAAGGTTAAATACAAATAAAAATGCCCATTATTTTGAGTTCGTCTGAAGAAAGGACAGGAATGTGACGGTGAGGTGCAAACTGTGTCCAGGCCAGAAGCTTTTATCCACTGCTGCAAACACAACGTCAAACATCAACAAGCACCTGCAAAGACAACATGCTAACGTGAAGCTAATAGCTAAGGACCCCCGAACCCAGAGTGAGGATGTTGAGTGTGCCGAGTGCCGACTCCGAAGCAGCAACAACTAGAATTTGAACCGGTAACCAAAGCAGAGATGGACAGGCTTGTAGCATCCTTTATAGTAGAGGAAATGTTGCAATTTGCACAATGGTGAAATCTTGAAATGCTCTTTAGGTTTTCACCGACTGTTAGCTTGTGGTAGCCTATTGTATTAAGGACTTGTGTTATGTCTTCCTTATTGCAATAGTCATTGTTATATGTGTGCAAATGTAGGCCTAAGTTTTAAGTTGTGGCTATAGGCTGTTGCCGAGTAACGCAAAAGTAATGTAAAGTAACGAGTAAAGTAACGAGTAAAGTAATGAGTTACTTTATGTAGAGAGTAACGAAGTAATATGTAATATAACTTTTTTTGAGTAACGACCATAGACTGGTAATGACCCCATCTCTGATTATCATGTACAGTTGTGGGTGGGAAGCAGGTGAGGGGTCATGCCCTGGTGACCCTGAGTGGTTGGTTGTGAAGACTGGCTAGGTAAACCAATTTCCTTCTCTTAAAAGTTCAGCCTTTCATTTGAAATAATTGTAGCATCAGCCTAAATCAGGAGTCATCTATCACATTTTGCATCAAATAAAGAAATAACTGCTTGTACAGGTTGTGCTGGATTCACATGGCTAAATCAATCAATCAATCAATCAATGTTTATTTATATAGCCCAATATCACAAATGTTACATTTGTCTCAGTGGACTTTACAGTTTGTACAAAATATCAGTATGACAATACGACACCCTCTGTCCTTAGACCCTCACATCGTACAAGGAAAAACTTCCAAAGAAAACCCACAGTTTAAAGGGAACATGGGAGAAACCTCAGGGAGAGCAACAGAGGAGGGATCCCTCTCCTAGGACGGACAGACGTGCAATAGATGCCGTGTGTAAATTGAAAAGATAATACATTTGCAACATAGGTAGTCCAAATCTTTGGAAATGCATGTGTGTATAATAGGAAGATGAATCCACGAGGATATCCATCCAGGACCTATGATCCAGGACCACAGCCACGACTCAAGATCCAGGGCTCGCGATCCAGGACAGAGGAGCGCAGGATCATCCATGACTCCGGATCCCGGCGTATATAGACACCAAAAAGAAAGACATTTGGGGAAGCTGGGTTAATCGGAACATGAGTGTACACAGGTATAGACAGAGAGAAGGAAGAAGTAAGATGTCCCCCGACAAACTAAGCCTATATCAGCAAAACTAGGGGCTGAATCTAATCAGCCCTAACTATAAGCTTTATCAAAAAGGAAGGTCTTAAGCGCACTCTTAAAAACGGATAGGGTGTCTGCCGCCCGAACACAAACTGGAAGCTGATTCCACAAATGTGGAGCTTGATAAGAAAAGGCTCTGGCTCCCATTGTACTGTAAATGATGTTTCAGACGTATTTCATAGTGTTTCTTGTTATGATTAACATGTAAATGTATATATTGTGACCAGCCCAGGGCTACAGATACAAATCAAATAGGGGCTTAATTTGCTACACTGAATGTGAGATTCATGTTAATATATCTAATGAATGTACCCACTTACTTAGTTTACAGATTAATATAACTGTGATGTGAATGGTTTTAATATGGACGATAATAACTGAAGTAGTTTTTATCTGTATTCCTTTTACTCAGTTTCTCAGAATCAAGCTTGAAACTTCGTAAATGTCTCGGAAAAAGAGTGTTATTTTTTGCAGAGCTAAAGAAGATGTACAAAAATATGGAAGCATGATTCATACAACAAGGACCTCAACTCATTTCATTCTTATTTCCATGAAATCACAATATTATTATAATGTCTGCTGATGTTTGAGCATGTGCAAGGTCCTGCACACCAGAATAAAAAAGCCATTAAGCATTAATGTCTGCTGGGGTTGCTGCAGAACTCAAGAGACTCTAATGTAGGTTGATTTGTTTTTGTCTTGTTCTCAGTGATCTTTATCCTCAAACGTAAATGACCTTTCTGTCAAAAGGATATTGCGTTCTTTCAATGAATGAGAATGTGTGTGATGCACATGCAAAGTTAAAAAAAAGCACAATATTGGCTGTCTGAAACTGTTGGATAATGTTGGCTTTAGGATTGATTTAGACCACCTTGAACGCATGGATCAGTCTGAATCCAAGCCATAGCAGGATTTATTGAGCACTATGGGCCACTTCCCAGCATTAGATCCTCAGTTAGTGTCCTTCTGGCTGCTTTGAAGTGGAGGTTTCAATATGAAGTTGAACTACAGCCATCTGGTCTCCTATGCGTTGGAACGACCTGCCTGAGGACGTAAGGCCGGTGGAAACAGTTACCTCTTTTGAACCACTTCTTAAAGCCCTCTTTCAAAGACGTGTGATGTTTTCTTTTGATTGTTTTGTTCCTTTTATTGAAATGTTTTCATAAAATTGTACATTTCTTTATTGTCTAATCTCCGCTATGTCTTTGCATCATTTGTCTTCATGTGTTGATTTATCCTTCACTTTTGTTTGGCCTCTCTTCCTGTTATATTGCCTTGTATCCTGCTTTTAAATTGCTTTGTCCTTTAAGGCAAGTAGTAAACTCTGTTTTTATATCTGTGCTATATAAACTGTTTTTGTTACATTACCTCTGTGTGCTCTGCATTGTTGATGCACATTAATGTCAGGAGACTGCCCCTGTTTTTTTAATAAAGTGCAAATTGGGTGCAATAATCAGTATTCATACTTTGAGAAAACGGTTCATAGTGAACTGTGCTTAAGCCAATATCCATAAATCAAACAATACCTGGACTTTTACTGCCGTTGGACCGGCTCAAATCCTTTCATCTAAAGCATTAGTGACTTTAAAAACATCCCCTTTCACAGTGTTCCCATCAGAGGGGAGCCTTAACTTGCTTTTTGTGGCTTACTTTGTCCCTAAATGTAATTTGCTTTGCCAGGATGCCTGGTTAAACGATCTTGTTGGCTCCGTTTCAACACATCTTTCGTCTCTAAACTTGGATTTGATTAGACAAAATCAAAGCTATCTTAACCCAGGTACTAACATAAGCAGTCTTGAGAGACTTTGTTCTTCTCTTAAGTATTCCCAACCTTTGTTTATCCCTCTTTTATTTCTGTCTAAATCATTTCCTCTCCTCCTTTAATCTCAGGAGTTACACTCTCTTCCAGCAGGACTATGATGGTGTGATTGTTTCAAAAAGCTCCTGTCTTGAAACTTCGTTTGATTGACGTCTCCTAATGGTGTCCCATCCCTCACCCCTCCATCTCTCCAGTGCTGAGACCTGGAGTTAGACTGTGACGGAGCACATCTTCCAGACATTCCAGTGGTGGCAACTAATGTCACACTGTCAGTGTGATAGCAGCTTTTATTGAGCACAAATAATTCCCTCAGGACAGCCAGTGTTTTGTTCTTTTTGAATCAAAGCAAGGCTCAGTTTGTCGCTTGATGGGGAAAAAAACGTTATGTATCCACAGCACATTCACAGTGATCACCATTGAGTCCATCACATAACAACATCACTCCATTCATGCTGATTACTCAGCTTGTCGACAACCTGTGAACATATGCTTTTAGGAAAATCACTCACTATACCACTTAGGTTTCTTTTCTTCGGCTGTTGTTGCTATGTTGCAATACATTAGCACAGGGCTTCACAAGCCTATGATATTTTTATGCAGCATTGCAAAGATTTCAAACATATGTGATTCTTACATCCACCTTGTTATGGTTGTTTCCACGAACTCTCATGGCATTGTGTTCAATTCTTATTCTGAGCATTTTCATTGTCCTGCATTACAATACAAATGCCTAAGTTAGGAACTGTCCCCTGGGTTTGCCCATGTTTTATCTTCACACACTTTAATATGTAGTGTACCAGAGCACTACTTCAATATCTGGAGCAAATACTGTGTAGGGAATTGTGCTTTTTTTGCACATGATCCTTCTTTCCTGTTGGGACGAGTGGCTCAAGGGATTTGAACCAATCAGATTGTTTTATTATTTCATTTCTCAATCTTACCTGGAGGAGAAATTAAATATCACTTGTAGTTTTCTTGATAAATTATAAGTTTTCCTTTCAAAGTGTCGTCTTTCATTAAAAACCTAATTTTCTTTCATTTAAGCCAGGATGTAAACAATCTGCTCCAATTCATCACACCTGCATCTCTTAACTGGCAATTAATGAAGTATAATTAAAGCTCGTTTAACTCAGGAATATTTAATAAGCAATATTGAGACACCTTGTTATTCACCAACCTGTGTTCATCCTCAAAGTCACTCTTAATACATTCTGCTTTCATTATTTTAAAATCTCAGGACATACGTTCCCTTCCAGCAGGATATATGGCCATCCATCTTTCTTGACAGTTTGGCAGTGCATGATTGACATCTCCTCTAATGTTTCCCCTTTCTCTCTCCAGTGCTGGGAGTCGTTCCTGAGCTCTGCAAGTGCCGAGACCTGGAGCTGGACTGTGACGGCGCGCAGCTTCGAGACATCCCAGCGGTGGCGGTCAATGTCACCATGATGTGAGTAGAAAATAACCCACTTGTATTTTCATTATCTTGAAGCTCAATCAATCCAAAGGAAGCCTCCATCCCTGGCTTGTGTCTCCCACGACAGCAAGCCAAAATATGGACTCACTTGAAGCCAGAATTACAGATTAGTCTCAGGAACTACATCAATCCCCTCACACTCACTTAACGATTCGCTTATGTCCTTGAAAGTGTTGTAGGAACAAGCATTTACGCACATACCTACAGTACATCTGTGGAGCCACTTTCTCTGAGGATTTAATTATTTTCAAATGATTTTCCAGTATGTATCAGACAAGGACATTTAATCCTAAAGCTATTACAACGTTTGTCAATGTTTCATGAAAGAACATTACAGTTTTCAGTGGTTACGAGTCATTTTATGTGTCCTGAAATATTAAAGCCATTACATCGCAGGTTGGCCTGTCCTCATTATCTCTTACAAAGTGTCTGCTCTGTCGCATCATTTGTTTTATGTCCTTTTGGAGTCGTGTAATACTTTTTATTCAGCTCACTTTTTTCTCCCCTTTAAACTTCACTGCCTTGACATGTTCAAAGTTGCTGTCAATCTTTTTGAATGCCGCTGACCAAGAATACTTTTGTTATCCATCCTTATTTTGATTTAGAAACACATTGTTTTTAGGACACTTCCACCGAGGACAATATACACAGTTTGGAGTTTTTTGTTCAGGCAACATGGTTCGGGGTAGATAACAAAACAGCTGGATAAAATGCCTATTTATGTCCTGGTGGTGGTCTGGTGGGATTGGTGGTTAAGAATCAGTACCCTTTGAGAAGTTAATGTACTGTCAGTGTGAGTTATTGGCCAGTAGATGACATTAGAAAGTTTGCTCGTATCGTGTCCCAATGGCAAATATCACAGTCACCATTATCAAAAGGTTTTCTGCCTTTTGGAAAGATGAATGCCTACGCCAAATGCTATTATATTTATATGTAGGTTTAGGATGGCATTATTTGAAATAGAGAAATTGCTTAAAGGTGGGGTATGAAATTTATTTCAGAAACACTTTTTGTTATATTCCATGGAATGCTCTTAATATCCCGATAGCAATGAATATATTAAATGCTTTGACAATAAATACATGACCAATCATCTGAGCCGGCCCGGCTAAAGTAACTGGATGGCCTACCTGCCTGTCAGCCTTCCATCTGTGCACAAACTTATCTCGTGCCCTCATTGGTCATGTGCGCGTTTGTGTGTGTTGGAGGAGGGGCTCTGTAAGGAAGTCTGAAGGAAGGGGCAGATTTTTTTCGGTTGTGTATTTTCAAATTCTAGCGCACTCGAGCTGGTTTCTCCAAAATTACATACCCCACCTTTAAGGATGAAATATTGCATTACTTATTATCAGATCTGGAAACATTTTAATAAATGGAAACGGAAGAAACTCATGTTTCAATCAAAACAATCTCATCATTTTTTGCTATCAAGACTTTAGACAACTTCAGTGTATAGAAAGTGATTCACATAACGCCTGTTTATTAAAGTGTTTTCTTTGAGTAATTGACTGAAGTAATGAAATTCCATAAAGTGACTCATATTTCCTTTCATCCTATTGAGTGGAATGTGACTCATTTGCAAGTGGATCACATTTTTTTAGCTAGATATTTCCATTCATGGCGCCATGACTGCGGTCTTTTTACTCTTGGGATTTCTTCATTTCAAAGAGTGAGTGATGGAAAGAGTCAAAGTGAAATGAATGAGTAAGGTGCTTTATGAGTTAACACAATGAAAATATAAATAAAGGAATTATAAACTTTTACTTTAGGTATAACAGTCAAGTCTCAGACAGCTGTAAATCTGCTTCAAAACAATTTCCCTGTAGTTACATTATACTGTAGATTATCTGTGTGACCTTTGAGCTAAATTGTGTCTGCATTCAGTCTAACGTGAAAGGAACGGATTTGCTACAGTAGAAAATATCTTCACTGAATTGACCCAAAAAATGAGAGTGCTTATGTCATATATTTTCTTAGCTGATCACAATAGACATGTCCTGATTGACTGTAGGGTTGGCTTCAAGGATGAACAATAAGTCTGTTATTTTAGAGTGCTGTACTATGGATTTCTGTCGCCTTAATGTTGCTGGTTAATGATTTACTGTCTTCAGGGCTGCTAGAGTCAAATTGCGTGACGTGTTGGAAATTAAAAGTGCAGTTTGAGGTTGTTTGGAACCAACCATGTCCATAAATTAAAAGAGCAACAGCTGTATGAAGTCCCCTAGGTTAATGCTGAAGATCAGTGTGTTAATGCACCTCAATGGCGGCGCCAGAGTATTTTTGTTGGGTAATCTATGGTAGGGCTAACCCATGCAGTGGTGGGGCTCAAGTCAGTATTTGCAATGTAATTACATACACGCTATATCGCCCCCCTTGACAGTGAAATGCCACGCGGGAGGTTTAGATTATTTCCCTGTCTCAATCAAAATGGAACTGTATGAAATAAAATGTCACATTTGTCTTGTTGTAAATAAAAAGGGATCACTGTGAACGTGACGTTAGTTAGTAGAGATAGTACACGTTGAAGATCCAATGGGGATACTGAATGGCAGTTCCGATTGATCTCAATCAGTAAGGCATGACCATAGACCAGGGGTAGGCAAGTAAGTTTGGCCTTGGGCCAATTGTTTGCTGAGCCACAAGATGGCGGGCCAGAACATAATCAAAGCCTAATTCAAGGAATTGATTTTGGAAAGAGGGCGCAGCGCCCCTGTTCCCCGGTTCCGAAAAAACTCTAATGCTGATAACCCTCCCCATCAACACTCTGATGCGCAGTCAGATCCGCTGATTGGTTCACTGATGATATAGGCGCCCAATCCAGAGCCTCTGGCTAGACCCGCCCAAAGGGAGGCTCGTCCTCTCTAGCCCCATTTCAGTCCCAAAGCCAGGGCTATTATCTGTATTTTAACATACTTATCTTTTAAATTGAGATGTATTTATTGTTCTCTTCAAAGTTAATTTTTCTCTGAAATTGTAGGGAGGATGTTCCTCCCTTTCCTCAATGGACGAGCCTCCACTGAGTAAAGTAGAGTTATTAACTAGGTAGCAGTGTTATTTAACATACTTTTATTCTGATAAGTATTGTCAAGTTCTCTGGGTTTTTGGCATTTATTTGAGTGTTTCCCCACATTTTAGAGGCTTGAGGGACAACTGGAATCCTTTTTCCTTTTCTTTATTTCAACTTTTCAAGGACACATTAGGATTCTTTCAGGTTGAAAACCTTTAAAAAATATCAAAGGACAAAATAAATAAATTACAGCATGTTTTGCTTTGCAATTTAATATATTATAACCTAAATTAATCAGTAACCAAGTATTTTACTCAAACTCAATGTATTTAATAGTTAAATAAGTACTTTAATTGACCTGGTTCCCCACAACCACACATTTGCCATATGTGACCCGCTCTATCGAAATCAATCGGAAGTCGCAACGGCTCATTTCAAAATAAACGTGGATTTGCGTAAAAAAATAGTTTTTCGGGGTTCCGGTGTTTTGTTTGATTTTAAATAAACAAAGTCTTGGCTTTCAGAATATGAAACTTTTATTTCCAAAATCACACGATAAATACATGTTTGAAGCTTGTAAAGGGAAGATGACAGCTCTCCCTCGCCACTCTGCTCTTCCACAGCGCCGCTTCCCTCCCTCCGCTGACATTATGAATGTAAGCTGATATATCGGGACAGAATTTATTTTACCGGACAAATTTGAAACTTACCGGTCATGTTTCAATAATAATAATAAGAATGGTGTAGCAGAGTTTCCGTTAGCAGGTAATCACCGGACTATGACAGGATATGCTGATGTTTAAAACTCAGTTAATGGGAGTCATTTTTATATCGCTTCAGTTTATAATCGTTACAGATCGAAAAGTTCAGATTCATTTTTCAATAAATGATTCCACAAACAACAAACAACATAATTATTACATTCAAACAAACTACTTGTAGTAGATGAAGTACATTATTCAAAAGTTTACATTAACTTTGAATAATAACACGGGAGAAACGGATCCTCTCTTTTTCCCTCTCCCTCCCTCTCTCTCCTGACAGCCTGTCAGTTTCTCATGCAGCTCGCTAAACAGTGGGCGGGGCTTCAGGTGATTATGCAGCAGCTGATCTGATCTCTCTCTCATTGATTGATTGATTGAAAAGTTTATTAACAGCTTGTATATTGGGTACAGTACAGTACAGCTCAAAACATACAATTGTTAAGGGGATGCAGACCAGAGAAAGACTTTCGTCTTGTTTACATCAGGGTCCCCCATTTCCAATTCATCATGTCATTTAAGACATATAAGACATATTTTACATACAGATGGCTTATTTACAATTTACATTCAGGTGGTTTTTTACATACAGATTGCTTATTTACAATTTTCATTTTAGATTTCGTTCAAATACATCCTAACCGGACATTTAAGACATACCAAGTCTACAGATATACAGTTAGAGTCTAAAATGCGAGTATATACATAGATGGGGGGGGGGAAGCTGTCCATTGAACGACAGGTTGAGATTTGTACCATTACCGGGGCCAGTTTTGCAATGCTCTCCCCCGAAGGTGCTCTTTAAGAGAGGTTTTGAAGGTAAGTATAGTTTTACTTTCCTTTACAGTTGTGGGAAGAGCGTTCCACCTCAGGTCCGGTTATACTTCCCTCGCGTTTATGTCCATATCGATCAGATCCAGCTCTCCTGATCGGCCTTTATAGAGAGCACCGATCAAACTATTAAGAGTGAATATCAGCCGATAATGACTGGCGGCCGATCGATCGGAGCATCCCTAATTATTACCAGACATTTTGACCAGCAGGTTTTTAATTTACTGGTTTTTAATGAATTTTACCAGATAAAAACTGGTAATTACCGGCTAACAGAAACCCTGATGTGCGACTCTCGGTCCTATGTTGTAAAAAAAAAAAAAAAAAATCTCAAAATAATATTTTATTTTTGATTCTCAAAATTACGGGCCAAATAGTATTGCTGGCGGGCCAACAATGCCGCCTGTTGCCGACCCATGCCATAGACTATATATATATATAAAGGGCATGACGCAGACCCAATGTTTCGTTGCTCTGATTGGCTGTAGGTCTATTCAAATTGCATTCGGAGGCATTTTGATCTGACCGCAGCCGCGCTGATATTATAACGCAAGAGAATTTCTACACCTTTACTGTATAAAACTACTACTACCCACTACTTAGACTATTCCTTGCACCCCTCTTCTAGCCCGAATGGTGTAGCCTACCCAGTGTTGGGTTGTAACGGAATACATGTAACGGCGTTACGTAATCAGAATACAAAAATCAAGTAACTGTATTCATCTCGCGTTACATTTGAAAAACGAGTAACCTGATTACATACTTTCGTAAACCTGAAGTGAATACATTTTGGATTACTTATTGGAATTATTGGTGGAAAGATTTCCTCACAACATTTAATATTCATTATTAAAGGTACAGCCGAATCATCACAGCCCACAAAACCTATTACCGCCGCAGATGGACCAAAAAAGGGAGCGTTTTTTAAAAAAAGGGGCGGGTCCGCTCAGTGAAACGATAACAACGAAACATGGAGGAACACAAGTCTGCGTTTAAATCGTGTGTGTGTGTGTGTGTGTGTGTGTGTGTGTGTGTGTGTGTGTGTGTGTGTGTGTGTGTGTGTGTGTGTGTGTGTGTGTGTGTGTGTGTGTGTGTGTGTGTGTGTGTGTGTGTGTGTGTGTGTGTGTGTGTGTGTGTGTGTGTGTGTGTGTGTGTGTGTGTGTGTGTGTGTGTGTGTGTGTGTGTGTGTGTGTGTGTGTGTGTGTGTGTGTGTGTGTGTGTGTGTGTGTGTGTGTGTGTGTGTGTGTGTGTGTGTGTGTGTGTGTGTGTGTGTGTGTGTGTGTGTGTGTGTGTGTGTGTGTGTGTAAAACACATCAGCCACACCGCTCTTTAGCCTTTCTAATGATTCTGAAGGTAAACAGTGAAGACGGTGTGTGAAAGGCACGGCGCGCTCGTCTTCTCAGAGGCTGAGTTAACCCTCCCGCTGCCTCCTGGTGCTGCAGAGATTTCATGAAGTGAAGGAGGTTTTCCTTCTATAAAACAGCTGTGGGCAGCAGATACTGTGAGTGTCACGGACATGAATTCATAGATCAAGGCAGACTGGTGCACCTGTTTTGCAAATCCGGTGCTTAAACAAAAATACACCCCTGGCCGAAATGTCCTTAAAATGAAGTCCGAGTTCGACATTTGAATTCATGTCCTGCCAGCACTGGCAGGAAAGAAGGCGACACGCCCGTTCTAAGCCATGTCCCTCACTCCTCACATCTTAAGCTGCATCCCCAACAAGTTTATGTTGTTACATCGTTTCAGATGTTATGTTTCAGTTGTGCTCTTGATAAGCCATTAAAACAGTAAAAACACGTTCAGTTTCCTTTGTTTTTGTGTCTCCTGTTCACCAAAACATATCCATCTGTTATGGAAAAAGAAGTAATCCAAAAGTAATCTAAAAGTAATCTGATTACGTTTTTTAAGACACGTAACTGGAACTGTATTCGGATTACTTTCAGAGCCATGTATTCAGTAATCAGTAACTGATTACATTTACAAAGTAACCCTCCCAACCCTGAGCCTACCCCAGCCATACCCTGGCGCTGCCACTGATGCACCTTATAATGCAGCAATAAAAGAAGGGAAGAAGATGTGTATGTGATGCAGGTTTAAAGAGGACATATTGTACACATATCTAAGTTCTTATTTGTATTTTGTGCTTATACTGTGACATGCTTACATGTTCAAATGCTGCAGCTCCTCTTTTCGCCCTCTGTCTGAAGCCCAGTCTGCTCTGATTGGTTAGCTGGCCAAAATGTTTCAAATGTAATTTATTATTATAATTTATGTGGTCTTTATATTATGAACATTTTACTTTCAAAAATGAAAAATGATAATCCTTACAGTATTGCAATGCATCACAATATATTGAATGTGTAGCCCCCTGTATCTTAATACGTTTCATTTTGTCGGATTATTGCCAATGTACAGCCTTGATGTGCCCAATGTGCAAAAACTCCTCCGAGTACATTAAGTGTTGCGACAGAAGTGGACCAAATGGAGTCGATTATCAATCAGCAAACAAATACAGAGTTAAAGAACTGCGAGCCCTCGGAGACAGAGTTAACAGAAATAAAATGTACGCAGTCCCAACACATTAGCCTTTAATCTGTTAAAAGCTTTGGAATCGACAGCTGAATCAAATGGTTACTCTGGGTCCCTTTGAGATGATAACATGGAATTAAAAAGACCAGGAGGCCATTGTGTGTCATGTTATTGACTGACTGTGATTGTTTTTGTTGGTATTTCAATGTGTAAGCTTTGTTAGGATGTGATAATCTATTCAAAGTTGTGAATATATAATAGCTTGTCTTTGTATGAAAATGGAATAACAAGGGGAAAAGTATAGACTATTGTTATTTCTAACAATAATACATGAACACTCCGACAAATATAACGTCATTTGATATTGAGATGTAGGAATTCCACTGATTGTCAGTTTAGTTGTGTTTAATACTAAGGGTACCGACATATACAGTATAGTTTAAAATGAGAATAATACTCATCACTTAGAGAGGGGGGAAAGGTACAGCAAATTGGTGTCATTTTTTACATAATGAAAGTTGAGGGTATTATGTTAATGTTGAATAGGACAATTGATCCTTGAAAGTCTTGAAAACCCCATGAATGAAAAACGTTATAGCATAATTTAAACCAACATGTTAAATAATAGCGGGGATGAGGGATGAGCTGGTCGGCTGTTCAAATGCAGCAGAACTGAATCATCATGAAAATCTGATGTGACCCTTTCTTTCCTTTAGGTCCCTTCAAAGGAATCAGCTCCAGAAGCTTAAGGCAAACATATTCTTTAAGTACAAAAGCCTACAGAAACTGTGAGTATAACATGAATTATGGATTGCATATTAATAACAATATATGGTAACACTTTATTTTGACAGTCCATAGTTAACACTCTATAACTCATCAGTTGACATTTAGTAGCATGTCAACAGTGCATCAGTTGACATTCAACAGCACCGTTCAAACCGACAAGTAACTAAGCATTAGTTGATGATCAACAGATAAGCAACTAAACTCTAAAGTTGCTTATCTGTTGATCATCAACTAATGCTTAGTTACTTGTCGGTTTGAACGGTGCTGTTGAATGTCAACTGATGCACTGTTGACATGCTACTAAATGTCAACTGATGAGTTATAGAGTGTTAACTATGGACTGTCAAAATAAAGTGTTACCCAATATATTGCTTCATTACATTTTATTTTGCCAATTTTCTATCTTCTTTTGTTTATTTATTTCCCTTTATTCAGTCTTCTTTATTGTCCATTTAAAGGACCTTTTCAGCTATCATGTGAGCCTACACATTTCATTCAGTAAAGCTTAATGGCTTCACGTGACACCAAAGAGCGGAGAAAATAACCTTTGAGTGACAATACAACAGACGAGTTTCACAACTACAAAGCTGACATGCCTAATAAAAGCTACAGGGACTGCTGGGAATGCTTAAAGGAACCATTTTCCTCCTCTGCTTGCATGTATTCTTTGCCGACTTAAGTTGTTTATCAACCTCGCACACTGAGGTGGCAGGAGAATAGGTCTGACCCCTCGCCAGGAACCATTTGGCGGTGCCAGTGTTACGGTGTGTGCAGGAAGCAGGACCCAAATGCAGATTCAAGTGTCAAAAATAACTCTTTTATTTCAAGGCTATACTATAAACAAAGACAGAACAGAACACTCACCGAAGACCAGGTCATAACACAAGACGAACCGACAAAGACAGAAAAACCAGAACTTAAATACACACAAGACTAATCATACAAACAAGACACAGGTGAGGAGGGAGGAGAAAACACAGGGACACCAGGTGCACACAATCGGGTAATCAGGGAGGGAAAACAGGCAAAACAGGAGATGAACACCCTTCAAAACAAAACAGGAAACCAAAGACAAAACACAACACAGACAGATCTTAACAGCCAGGCTGTCATTCCTCTGAAAGTTTAACCTGATTGAAAAAGTCCCTGAAAATATGCATAAATAAATGAATCGCCAGGTGTGAAAAATACACAAAGAGACAAGACACAGCTGTCAGTGGGAGTTTGTTGAGCTCTCAGTATGTGCAATAAAAGAAGATTGGTCTTAAACAAACCAGGATGTTCTGGTAGAAGATACTTATTTCTCTTCTCTTGGTTTTAACCCTCACTCAAATACCAAATGTATCATTGTGTATGTCTTTTTTTGTATAAAACCAACAGACTCAAACGGTTGTTTTTGTCAATTCTTAACCTGATTTGTGCTTTTTTTGTGTTATGTATAGATATCTTCAATACAACAGAATTCAAGATGTGAGTCCTGACGCTTTCAGAGGGCTGCATAATCTGACAAGACTGTAAGTTTGTACATTTTTATTATATTCAGTTATAATACCTTTATAAACGATGTAGTAGACCAGGGGTGTCATTAGAATTATGGTTGCACTCAAAGGGCCGGTGGTAACTTTAAGACTATATAAATATACATAGATAATAATAATTGCAAGTCTCTTCAAAATGAGATGCATTGTGGGACATGTAGTTTATGGGCAACGTGCTCATGTAAAGCGGCATGTAACCTTATAATAAACGTATTATATTCTTTGCAAGCAAGCGCTTGCAAAGAATATAATACGTTTATTATATATTACATTGCATTTAGCTGACGCTTTTATCCAAAGCGACTTACAATAAGTACATTCGACCAGGAAGACACAACCTTGAAGAAAACAGAATCATATAAGTACATCAGGTTTCATAGAGCCAAACATTTCAAGTGCTACTCAACTGGCTTTAGATAAGCCAGTCCTTTATTAGTATATAAGTGCTTCGTTAATAGTTCTATCGCTCGAAGTGGAGTCGAAAGAGATGAGTTTTCAGTTTGCGCCGGAAGATGTGCAAGCTATCTGCCGTCCTGATGTCAATGGGGAGCTCATTCCACCATCTTGGAGCCAGGACAGCAAACCCACGTGTTTTTGCTGATGGGAACTTGGGTCCCCCTCGCAGCGAGGGCGCAACGAGTCGTTTGGCTGATGCAGAGCGTAGTGCACGCGCTGGGGTGTACGGTTTAACCATGTCCTGGATGTACGAAGGGCCAGATCCATTCGCAGCATGGTAAGCAAGTACCAGTGTCTTGAAGTGGATTCTAGCAGTTACCGGAAGCCAGTGAAGGGAGCGGAGGAGCGGAGTGGTGTGGGAAAATGTAGGAAGGTTGAAGACCAGACGAGCCGCTGCATTCTGGGTGAGCTGCAGAGGTCGGATGGCACATGCAGGTAGACCAGCCAGGAGGGAGTTGCAGTAGTCTAGGCGTGAGATGACGAGAGCCTGGACCAGAACCTGAGTGGCTTTCTGGGTCAGCTGGGGACGTATCCTCCTGATGTTGTAAAGCGTGTATCTGCAGCAACGGGTTGTAGCAGCGATGTTTGCAGTGAAGGACAGGTTGTTATCTAGGATCACACCCAGATTCCTTGCAGTCTGAGTCGGGGAAACAACTGAGGTGCCGATGTTGATTGTTAGGTCAAGAGTGGGACAATCTTTTCCCGGAAGGAAAAGCAGTTCAGTCTTGTCAATGTTGAGCTTGAGGTGATGAGCAGACATCCACTGAGAGATGTCAGCTAGACAAGCAGAGATGCGTGCGACGACCTGGGTCTCTGAGCGGGGAAAGGACAGAATTAATTGGGTGTCGTCAGCGTAGCAGTGGTATGAAAAACCATGTGGGCTAATGACTGATCCGAGCAAGTTTGTGTACACGGAGAAGAGGAGGGGACCAAGAACAGAGCCCTGAGGGACCCCTGTAGTTAATTGACAAGGGTCGGACTCAGACCCTCTCCAAGTCACCCTGTAGGTACGGTCTTTGAGGTATGAGGTGAGGAGGGAAAGTGCAGAGCCTGAAACTCCAAGTTTTTGGAGCGTGCGAAGGAGGATCTGATGATTCACCCTGTCGAATGCAGCAGACAGGTCCAAAAGGATGATGACAGAGGAGAGGGAGGCTGCTTTAGCAGTGTGCAGTTCCTCAGTGACAGCAATGAGGGCAGTTTATGTGGAGTGACCTGCCTTGAAACCAGACTGGTGCGGATCCAGAAGGTTGTTCTGATGGAGATAACAGGAGAGTTGTTTAAAGACAGCGCGTTCAAGTGATTTAGACAGGAACGGGAGTAGAGAGACAGGCCTGTAGTTTATAACATCTGACGGGTTGAGAGTGGGTTTCTTTAGGAGAGGGTTTACTCTTGCCTCCTTGAGACTGTTTGGAAAGTGACCAGAAGTTAGAGAAGTGTTGATGAAATGGGTGAGAAACGGTAGAATATCAGGAGCGATAGTCTGAAGGAGGTTTGAAGGGATGGGGTCCAGAGGACAGGTGGTAGGGCGGGCAGAGGTAATGAGGGTAAGAACCTCACTTGGAGAGAGAGGGGAAAAGGAGGTCAGTGTGTTGGTGGAAGGAGGGTCTGGTGACCCAGCGGTGAGTAAAGGTGAGTCAGAAAAAGAAGAGCGAATATCATCAACCTTTTTTTCAAAGTGGGTAACAAAGTCGCTTGACAGAAGGGAGGAGGGGGGAGGGGCTTTGGGAGGGTCCAAGAGGGTGGAGAAGATGGAAAATAGTTTTTTAGGATTGGAATAGGAAGATTGGATCTTATCTTGAAAGAAAGTGTTTTTTGCCTGAGAGATCGAAGCCGAGAAAGAGGAGAGGAGAGCCTGATAGGTTAGGAGGTCGTCACGGTGTTTGGATTTCCACCGTTTCCGCTCTGCTGCCCTAAGGACGGTTCTATTAGCACGCAGTGCATCATTTAGCCAGGGAGCAGGAGGGGACTGACGAGCCTGCCGAGATGTGAGAGGACAGAGAGATTCCAGAGAGGATGAGAGAGTAGAGAGGAGAGTTTTTGCAGCAGAGTTTGGAGGTAGTAGTTGGAACGAGTCCGAGGAAGGGAGGGCTGAGAGCACCGATGAGACAAAGGTAGTGGGGGAGAGGGAACGAAGGTTACGGCGGACAGGTTTAGGATGAGAAGAGATTAGTTTGTTATGTTTGGAAAGGGGTAGAGAGAATGAAATGAAGAAGTGATCGGATGTGTGGAGCGGGTTTACAGAGAGGTTAGAAGTAGCGCAGTTCCTTGAGAATATGAGATCGAGGACATTGCCAGCTTTATGAGTCGGTGGGGACGGAGACAGTGAGAAAGCAAAGGCGGTTAACAGAGATGTTAGTTTGTCTATCTTCCCTGTCTGGAGGTTGAAGTCTCCGAGAAGTACAGCGGGAGGGCCAGTTTCAGGGATGTGTGAGAGGAGATTATCTAATTCCTCCAAGAAGTCCCCCAAGGCGCCTGGTGGACGGTAGAGAACAACAATGGTCAATTGTATAGGATGGGTTACTGTGACGGCATGGAATTCAAAGGTGGAAGGAGTGAAGTTAGGTAGCTTGAAGAGGGAAAAGCTCCATTTGGGAGAGAGCAGGAGACCAGTGCCACCTCCTCTGCCAGTTGGTCTGGGTGTATGGGAGAAGGAATATGCTGTGGAGAGAGCTGCTGGGGTGGATGTGTTGAATGGAGTAATCCACGTCTCAGTGAGAGCAAGGAAATCCAGAGACTGCAGGGAGGCGTAGCCAGAGATGAAGTCAGCCTTAGGAACAGCTGACTGGCAATTCCACAGGCAAGGCAAGGCAAGGCAAGGCAAGTTTATTTATATAGCACTTTTCAACACAAGGCAATTCAAAGTGCTTTACAAAAAATGAAAGAGATTAAGAAAATGGCATTTAAAATCAGTCATTAAAAAGAAAAGCTAATAAAATAAACATTAAAAGAAAAAATACATGGATAAAAGTTACAGTGCAGTCTAAGATATGAATAGTTCAATTAAAAGCAGCGACAAAAAGAAAAGTCTTCAGCCTGGATTTAAAAGTAGTCAGAGTTGTAGCGGACCTGCAGGTTTCTGGGAGTTTGTTCCAGATATTTGGAGCATAATAACTGAACGCTACTTTACCATGTTTAGTTCTGACTCTGGGGACAGAAAGCTGACCAGTCCCTGAAGACCTGAGAGATCTGGATGGTTCATAATTTAGCAGGAGGTCAGAAATGTATTTTGGGCCTAAACCATTCAGTGCTTTATAAACCAGCAGCAGTATTTTGAAATCTATTCTTTGACACACAGGAAGCCAGTGTAAAGACTTCAGAACAGGAGTGATGTGATCCACTTTCTTAGTGTCAGTGAGGACTCGAGCAGCGGCGTTCTGAATCAGCTGCAGCTTTCTAATAGATTTTTTAGTGAGACCTGTGAAGACACCATTGCAGTAGTCGAGTCTACTGAAGATAAAAGCATGGACAAGTTTTTCCAAATCCTGCTGTGACATTAGTCTTTTAATCCTAGATATATTCTTTAGGTGATAGTAGGCTGATTTAGTAACTGTTTTAATGTGACTGTTGAAACTCAGGTCAGAGTCCATGACTACACCTAGATTTCTGGCTTTATCTGTTGTTTTGAACATTGCAGACTGAAGCTCAGCGCTAACTTTTAACTTTTATACGTTCTGCCTTGGCTCCAAAAACCATTACCTCAGTTTTATCTTTGTTTAATTGGAGAAAGTTTTGACACATCCAGTCATTGATTTGTTCAATGCACTTACTCAGTGTTTGAATTGGAGCATAGTCTCCTGGTGAAATTGTTACGTAAATGTGTGTGTCATCTGCATAGCTATGGTAACTTATTTTGTTGTTCTTCATTATCTGAGCCAGTGGTAGCATGTAGATGTTAAAGAGAAGAGGCCCCAAGATGGAGCCTTGAGGAACCCCACATATCATATTTGTCAACTCAGATGTGTATTTACCTATAGAAACAAAGTTGTTTCTGTCCTTTAAGTAGGATTCAAACCAATTCAGAACTGTTTCCGAAAGTCCCACCCAGTTCTCCAGTCGGTCTAGTAATATGCTGTGGTCAACAGTGTCAAACGCAGCACTGAGATCTAATAATACTAACACTGAAGTTCTGCCACTGTCTGTGTTTAAGTGGATGTCATTGAAGAGCTTTACAAGAGCAGTCTCAGTGCTGTGGTTTGGACGAAAGCCTGACTGGAACACATCAAAACAGTTATTTAAATGCAAGAAATTACTCAACTGTTGAAAAACAACTTTTTCAATGATTTTACCTAGAAATGGGAGGTTTGATATGGGCCTGTAATTGTTCATCACTGAAGCATCTAGATTATTCTTTTTTAAGAGCGGTTTAATGACTGCAGTTTTCAGGGCCTGTGGAAAAATACCTGAGTGAAGAGATTTGTTTACTATATGAAGTAGATCTGAGGCCATGCAAGGAAAAACATCTTTGAAAAATCCTGTTGGAATAATATCAAGGCAGCAGGAGGAGGATTTCAGAAGTTGAATAATGTCCTCTAGGTTTTTATCATTAATCTGATGGAATTGTGTCATGGTGTTTGAATTGATGTTAAGTGGACACAGAGACAACACATTTGCTGTTCCTGATGCAGAGGCACTGACTGCTTGTCTGATTTTCTGAATTTTGTCAGTGAAGAAGGCAAAATCATTGCACGCCCTGGTGGATATAAATTCAGAGGCTAATGACACTGGGGGGTTAGTTAGTCTGTCGACGGTAGCAAACAAGGCACGTGCGTTGTTTTTGTTTTTGGTAATGATGTCAGAGAAGAACGATTGTCGTGCGTTTTTCAATTCCAAATTATAAAGGCCAAGTCTCTCTTTATAGATTTCAAAGTGAACCTGGAGATTTGTTTTTCGCCACCTGCGTTCAGCTTTTCGACATTCTCTTTTTTCTGTTTTCACGCTCATGGCCTTTCTCCATGGAGATATTTTCTTGCCAGACACTTCCTTTACCTTAGTTGGAGCAATGGCATCTATAACATTTTTAATTTTTGAATTAAAATGATCTACTAGCTCATTTACTGAGATGTTGGCAGGGGCAAGTGTGGAAGAAAAATTCTGAGTAAACATTTCCCTAGTATTTTCAGTTAAATATCGCTTTGTGGTTACCTCTTTTTGAACATTTTTGTGAACAGAAATAGAGCTCTCAAAGAAAACACAGGAATGGTCAGAGAGTGCAACATCAGTCACCACAACCTTAGAGATATTCAAAAATTCTGAGTAAACATTTCCCTAGTATTTTCAGTTAAATATCGCTTTGTGGTTACCTCTTTTTGAACATTTTTGTGAACAGAAATAGAGCTCTCAAAGAAAACACAGGAATGGTCAGAGAATGCAACATCAGTCACCACAACCTTAGAGATATTCAGACCCTTTGAGATAATTAAGTCCAGAGTGTGCCCCTTATTGTGCGTGGGCTCCGTCACATGCTGAGTCAGTCCATAGCTATCAAGAACACAAAACAGTTATTTTGCCCCTCTGTCCTGGGGGTTGTCAACATGGATGTTAAAATCACCAACAATGACTAGACGGTCAAAGTCAATACACACTATAGACAGCAGTTCAGTAAAGTCATCAAAAAAGCTTGCACAGTATTTGGGTGGTCTATAGATATTTAGGAACAGAGCTCGAGAGGAGCATTTCAGTTGAAGGGCCACATATTCAAAAGAATCAAAGTTTCCATAAGATGTCTTCTTCCTGCATTGAAGGGAATCATTGAACAGAATAGCAACTCCACCCCCTTTCTTATGCATTCTTTCCTGACTCATAAAACTAAAGTTGGGAGGGGTTGATTCGATAAGAACAGCTGCACTGTTATTTTGTTCAATCCAAGTTTCTGTTAAAAACATAAAATCGAGATTGTGCTCAGTGATAAAATCATTGATTAAAAATGTTTTTCCTGCCAAAGACCTGACATTTAATAAAGCTAGTTTAAGTTTGTTAAACACACTATCAGTCATGTTTTTTGTAACAAGCTGTGGCTGACATGGAATCACTGCTAAATTAGATACACTCACACAAACATTTGAGCGCTTCCTGTTTCTATGATTCACCGCTCTTAATCTATTACCTATCAACACAGATATCGGCAAAGCTACTGGCAGGCAGGGCCCCGACATGTCCTGGAAAGAGTTAAGAGTGCCATACGCCCTTGAGCCTGGACCCATCACATATCAGTAATATATATATAGGATGGGTTACACATATTCAGGCCACCTGAAACTAGATGTTGGATCTCAGTGGAGCATTTGGGATAGATGAGAGCAGGCCGGTTATAGCGATTAGGAGATACACGGGGCCAGTGATAATTGCGAGAAGACACATGAACAGGAATGGAGAAAATACACATGATTATAGCATGAGGTGCTAGAAAACTAAAGAAAAGAGAAATAAGACACCAGCTCAATCAGAGTAGGATTTGCCTCCTCTTTGCCTCCCTCGTGACTCCCGCAGGACTCTAATGTCTTTGTCAGTCTTACTCCCGCAGGACTCTAATGTCTTTGTCAGTCTTCGGCTGTCTGACGCTCCAGGAAAGAGCTACCTAAAATGGACGCCTGATTGCTGAGTTCTCACAGCTGTGGGGCCACGCCCCTCTAATTAGTTAACTCTCTACAGCTGATGGGCGACAGTAGACTGGCCCTGCCTATATTGTAATGCAGGCTTGAGTGCCCCTACTGAGACCTGTGTAGCAGGTTTCGCCTGAGCAGATCTGAGATTTAAAATCTCTCAAAAGCGCCGTTTTAGCTACAATAACTACAGAACAATTATACAGAGTAGAATAAATGAAACAGAGAAGTCTAATTAAACAAGAATATAACTTACAGTGGTTGCTGCGTCAATAGGTAATATCGTCACCCGGTCCAGATGCACACTGTGCATATTATATGTGGGCCACATACAATGAAGTGGCCGGCCGGATTTGGCCCCCGGGCCTTGAGTTTGACACCCCTGTAGTAGACCATGTTCACTTCAAACCGCGCACTACTTTGGCTTTTTAAATGTTTTTCTAAGAAATACATTGGCTTGCTTTCCTTTTAACTTGGTTAGAGCTACATTAATGATACTACACTACATTATTCTGTGTGTGTACAGGTACAACCTCACCACTGAAAGTAGGGAAGTATAGACTTATTGGCATCGTCTTCGATCCATGTTTTTTATATATATTATGTTCACATAATCATTTGTTTTATCATTTGGATTTCCTATGTTGTATCTTATTTTTATTTTTTTATCCATAACCACAACATATGTTGCCCTTGTTTCCGTCCAGGAAGAAGAGTCCGTCCAAGGTTTCTTCCATTTTTTCCCAATGAATTGTCTGGTTTCTTGAGAGTTTTTGTTGTACGCTGCGACGGTCTGAGGGTTCCATACGCTGTAGACACTCTAAAGCCCCCTGAGACAAATGTATAATTTGAGGGCTGTATAATAAAATGTAACAGCAAATTAGTATGCTGTTGCATCATTACACCGACCGCCTCCTTATTTAGCATATTACCGTTGACGTATACAATGTACAATATTTTTTATTAAGGGTAAATTAGTTAGTACTTCAAGTACAATCCTCATTGCTGCTCTAATTTTCTGAGAGCTTCTTCGGAGAGCAGAGCCTTTTTTCGTACTTCCTGCGTAACCACTTACTATAAATAGTAAATTACTTGGTGAAAGCATCTCTGGCTGAAATGATATGCCAAATTACAGAGAGCAGAAAGGACAATCAGATGCCACATAGGGAGCGAGAGGGCTGATGAGTTCAACTTAAATGTCATATCAGCGGGAAGTTCCATAATGGTAGTTAAAACAGAACCATTTTTAGATATCAGGCACCATGGGAACATAGCACCATGGTGAGCCGACTGTAATCTTCCCTCTATATATAACTTCTCAGTTTGAATAGCATACATTTTATTAAGGAACAAAAATGTAATGCTAAGGGACTAATACATATAAAATATACATCGTATGGCTTTGTGTAAGTGGCTCTCTTTCTATTGCCAGTTTAGCCTATAGTATTGCCATACAGTATATGGCTCTGTAATTGCTGTGATTTTACTCTGTTTACACTCAAATAAATGGTGGTAGCACTGGAATTGTAAACGCATCACATTTCATTTCCGTTACAGGAAATACTTCATTTCAACAGAGTGGGTGCGTGGGGGAGGAAAAGGGAAATGTATTTGAGTTTATATCACTTATTTTTGCATAAATGTTAAGAAATAAAAACATTTTAAGATGTAAACAGAATAGAAGTGCACATAAATATCACTACAAATAAATATAAGTATGATTCTAGCTAATACAAAGACAAACTATTAGATACAACTTGATTTGATGCACATATATTATTAAAAGTGTAAGTATGAAATTCAATTGCAATACCTGATAGTATAAATCGAAGTTTATTTATATAGCCCAATATCACAAAACACATTTGTCTCTTTAAATATTACCAAACATGACTGACTGCTAAAAGATAAATACAATTACAGGAAAATAATTAAAAGACACGATTGTATAAAATACAAATACAATGAGAACAAAAAGATTAAAAATACAATAAAATATAAAATAAGATTAGGACCCAGGAGGACAAGCATAATCTGAAACCAGCTCTATAGGCTTTAATAAAAGGAAGTTATTCAGCGCACTCTTGAAAGTATAGACACTGTCTGCCTCTCTGATCAAAGCAATAAAAGAAGGATGCATGGTTTCCTTTCGAGCATCCTCTTATCTTCCAAACTCATCTCTCTTCTCTCAGGTATCTGAGCTACAACAGCATCTCCATCCTGAAGCCGGGGGTTTTCAAGGACCTGCACAAGCTGGAGTGGTTGTATGTTTCTTCTCTACTGAAAGAAAGTTCTGCAATAGGATTCTTTACTTTATGTACTGTAAATATTGCTTTGCCATAGGCTGAGGAGTCCAGTTTTATGATGAATAATTCCTATTTTCTTCCCTTGCATTGTTTTCTTTGTATTGCACTTGGGTAATACTTCATCCAAATCTTTATTAATGCCGTTTCATCCGAATCAATACTCTGCGAATGAGGCTGAAACTGTATCTTGTGTTTTCTTGTTTCAGGATCTTAGAAAATAATAATATCCATCAAATATCCTCCATGACCTTCTCAGGACTGAACTCGCTCGTTTTACTGTGAGTTCTTAGTTCTTAGTTTTCTTTGTGTGGTCTATTATCAAACCATCAAATGTTCTGCTATTAAAAGCCTTTGTTGAACTGAATGAGTGTTCCTCCTGTGCCTCACGTCATTTCATTGTGTCTCCCTGATCGACAGAGTTTTGTTGAACAACTCTTTGACAAAGCTGGATGACATATGTCGGGAAATGCCCATTTTGAACTGGCTGTAAGTAACATGTCAAGAAATCATGAGATGTCTTGTCAAAAATGTGGCATGTATTTTGATGATTTTTTCCCTGTCTTTGTGTGTATGGTATGTGTCTAATATTTCATGTGTGTGCCTTTCATTACCCTTCTTGCAGGGATTTGGAGGGAAATCTCATTGAAACCATTGGAAATGTGTCTTTCTCCTCATGCAGTATGCTGACAGTTCTGTAAGTAGATATTTACATAACGCATGACGCAGGCAAAGATTTAGCTTTAATATTAAAGGTCACCTATCATGCTATTTTTAGGCAATAGCATAGGTCTCAGATATATACAAATATATAAAAAACATGTCTATGAAGTGTTTTGCTCAAAATACCAAACAGATCACCCATTCTAGCCATGCCTCGTATCCCTCTATTTCACTTCCTGTTTCAAAAGTGCTGATTTGGGGTATAAAGCTTTAAAAAAAAAAAATGTGATTAAAAAAAGGAGGGGCCGGCAGCTACTGTCTAAACTAAATGCTGCCGTGATGAAACGCCATATCATGGATTATCAAGGATTATTTCTGAAACAGTATGGAGCTCAAAGGCTTTCTCTCTTACCGGTTATACCACAAGGTGAGGTCCTTTTGATTTCCTGCTTCTTCACACACATGCTCTCCAGTACAGGTTAGCTGTGAGTGTTAGCGATGCTAATGTAAACACCGACCATATTACGTCCAAAACAGTCGGGCATTGTTTCTGATAGCAACGTTTCTGATAGGGCCGTGGGTGTAAAGCCAGCCTACATTTCCGATATTATGTCATATCGGACGCAAATCTGGATCAGCTCCGTTGTAGCCCCGTTTTTAGAGATTTGGGTACGGAGGAAAAGAGAGGGTTTTATTTTATGACGCTGCGTGAGTTCCCCGACACACCGGGGACACATTTTTATGTATAAAATACATCAAAAAGTGCATTTTGCATGATAGGTCCCCTTTAACACTTTTGCCTGAATTCCTATGAGATTTCAAATCAGCCTCCGTTAACATATTATTAGGCTTATGCATGGACTCAATGCTGGCAGTTCTAATTAAAAAGTTTAAAAAGTAGTCATATGATCCTTTTTTTGTATGTATTGTCTTTCCCCAGGGTTTTACAGCAGAACAGGATCAGCCACATACACGAGCAAGCTTTCTCAGTCCTCCCAAGGCTTGGAGAATTGTAAGTTCATTTTTTTTTTTTATTGAGCAAACACACTTTGAAGAAACAAATAACATGACTTTGAAGATTCAGCCAAAATGCAATATGCAATTTAGTGCTGCTTATTCTTAAGGTGTGCTACACATAGTGACTAGAGAGCTGCGGAAGATAATGAAATGAACAGTTAGGGGAAAAAAGCAATAAATGCATCGTAAAGAGACATTTTTGTGGATATTTCGTAATAATTCAATTTCTGCTTAATATTTTACTTTAGGGCACCATGTTATCATTTATAGCCTGTGCTTTTAAAAAGTATTTGAGCTTTCTTATAAGCAGTACAAAATTATAAATAGCTACAAGCAACAACTGATACCATTCAAAAACACAAGTTTAACGAGCTCACATTTAGAATGGCTTGAATGATCAAACGCATGTTGTTTTGTTAATGAAGACCATTTGTTCTCCTGTGCCCTGTTAGCTGTGAGGCCTGGGGGCGGTCATTTCTGTCTTTGCTTTGTTTTGTGTTTTAGTTAGTGTGGGAGGATTTGTCCAAAACTTTGTTTCAGCAACATTTAAACTTGGCAGATTGTAGACGTATATGTGAGCTAGGTGCCTAAGGTTTACAGTATGTTGGTTAGTCTTCAAAATTACCACTTGCCTAACTTTTCCCTCAGGTCAGGTCTGCTTTGTTAACAGACCTGACCTGTTTTTTATAATCTACGGATTGGGTCTTTGTTTGATTGTTTATGAATATCTATGGTCTCCAGAAGTCGAATGTTGCTGTTTGTTAGCAAACCTGACACTTTTCGACTTGTGACAATCCCAAATATAAACCAAAAAGGTAAGAGCCAAAAAAAAAGTGATATTGAAAAAATATATATTTCAAATCAAATCAAATCATGTTTTATTTATATAGCACATTTAAAAACGATTTGTGGTCGAGCCAAAGTGCTGTACATGTAATACAAACACTTTTCTACAATAGCAAACAGAAAACAATAATTTACAACAGCAAATATAAAAATCAAACACAAGGAAAGTCGTACTCCGCTCTGACTAGAAGGCCAGAGAGAAGAAGTGAGTCTTTAATGTAGTTTTTTTTTAAATATACACACAATTTGGTGCATTCTGGAAAAGCATTCATGTTTCCCAGAGGAGGAACCACTTTCAATGTAAGCACTAATTAGCATTCCCTCTGGTATTTCCATCAGTTAGTGGTAAATTGTTGTAGACAATATCTCAGAAACTAAAAGATGATTCCTTTAAAGGTTTAAGAAATGTATTTCAACTCGTACAGTTACACAGTAAAACTATATGCAGTATATTTGCGGTTACTTTTAAAATGACTATAAATGACTAAGTCCAGGCACTTTCAAGAAAACTACTGCGGACTTTGACCGAGATGGCCAATGACAATTATTCGCCCAGTTAATTGAACATAATCTGAGTCGTTTTTAACATACTTTCCCCTTATTGTTTGTTTTATTTTTTATATTTTACATATATGGCTGGCTTTATGTCATGATACAGTGTTGCCACCATATTAGTAAGGAATGTCTAGTTGTAGTATAACCTTGAACATATGTGTTTTTATTCTGTATTGATGTTTTTCTTTTATGTACTTCAATGCATTCCACTCTTCAGTTCTTGTTTCTGACTTTCTCACGAACAGAGGTACACAAGTGTCACAGCTCTTTACTTCCTACCTTTGATGATTCCTCTGTGATCTTTGCAAAGTTCCCTTTCTTTGTTTTGTTTTTTTCATTGTATGGGATTTACTGTTTAGTCGTTCAAATCGTTTTATTTTAGCCATTAAAAGCCTCATGAGTCTTAACAGCTCTTCTGAAAATCTTTATTGATTTTGACTGTTTTTGCCTCCTGAGATCTTGACATGAGATTTTTCATAGATAACATGTCTTAATTAAACCACATCAAATTGGACTTCTGCTACCAAAAACACTAGTCAATATCTTTGAAACTCACATACATTGGATCAGAAATGCTTAAAATGTACCTGATAAACAATTAGCATCTGTCTGTGTTTGTCTTATAGAGAGTAACAGATGAGTGATAGACAGCGCTTTAGGAGTTATTCACAATAATCTAAACCTCAAATACCCAAATTAACTTTATTGTTGCCAACAAAAAATCCCATGAAAAGAACAAAACCAACAATCAGTAAATCCTTTTAGACAGTTGTGGCCAAAGCCTGATGAAAATAAAACATTCCTCTGTGCCATTAACACATCTCTGAGCACAGGATTTGCAACAGGAAATATTTTTATAATTAAATTCGTATTTACTCTGTATGAGTAACATCACCTTAAAACTACAATGCCCTTCTGTTTTTAGAAAAGTACGAACAAATACTTTTGTGACCAATTTGTGAAGCCAATGGCTATGCCTAAATCCTGCATCCTGCTCCTCCAAGAGAACTCCATTTGTATAGAGGTCTATGAGAAAATGACCCTACTCTTACTAGATGTGTTGCCCCATTCAACATTTACCTGATCCTTTGATGGTTCTAATTACTGGTTTGAAGTCGTCGTCAATAAAGCATGAGGTTATTTTGTAACTGATGGTCCCAGTTAGAGGAAAATAGACTATAAAGCATATGTTTGACCTCCGCAGTGTTTTCCAGTTTAGGTGTTACAACTACGCCTTACAACTTTAACCATTTCACATTTGTTTAGGTCCTGAAAGTTATATGTAACATTTTAGTATCCATGAATTTTCTTGTTCAGTTTTCCGTTTAATTTACCGTAATTTTCGGACTATAAACCGCGCCTTTTTTCCCATTTTTCGACCCTGCGGTTTATATAACGGTGCGGCTAATCTATGGATTTTTACAGCTAACGGCCACTAGGGAACCTCCTAAATCTATGGATTTTACAGGTTACAGTCCACCACCTTTAACACTATGGGCTCTATGACCGGTCCGCGCCCGCCACCTTTAAGCGGCGGGCTCCAGCAGGAAAAGCTGGAGGCCGGAAAAGAGTGAGACAGGTAGCGCGCCAAAGTAAAAGTGGAACCGAGAGTGGTACGAGAGACAGAACGAGAGCAAGACAGACAGACAGACATTACGAGAGCGAGACAGTTTGTGCAAAGGAAGTTTTCATGCACAAACCCTGCCGGTACGTGCGCTGGGAGCGCACCGTTTAAGTTTGAAAGTTGAAAAGTTTGTGTGTCTGAAACGCTATGTGATACAGTACAGTTTACACAGCACAGTACATGTTCTGTTGTTACTATTGCACTAAATGGTAACACTTGAATACGTTATGCAAATATGCAACTTGTTTGTTGAAATGTTAATAAATGGGAGCTTCCTCAAACAGCCATCTCTTTCCCGACAATCCCCTCTGTGCACGAACCCTTACATATGGTAATTAAACATTAAAACACCTACGGCTTATCGTCCAGTGCGGCTTATATATGTAGCCTACACATCATTCAATTTAGCTGCTGCGGTTTATATGCAGGTGCGCTTTATAGTCCGAAAATTACGGTAGTTCCACTATTTTGTGTCATTTGAAGATGGTGACACCCAAAATGCCAAACTTATGGTTTCAAAAATATAGTCCATAAAACCAATGAGTAACGTCTTGGTGAATTATGTGCACTTTTTTTTAACATTGTCTATGTATGTATGCGACACGTTTTAAAGATGTGTTTCATCAGTAGAAATACATGAGTTGGGGGTGAGGGCTACAGTTAATCTGAATTAGTTGCAAAGTATATTGAGATCAATTTACATATTGTGGGTTTTAGTATTTTCATTATATTTCTTTACTAAGAAAGACAAAGGCTCCATTTACATATAACCCACAACTGAATAAAGCAAGTTCATGTTTTGTGATTAATGAAAATCGTCGGTGCCTCAAAAAGCTGAATTACTTTATAAAGTTATTGAGGTTTGAATGTTTTTATTGTGTATCTTTATAAATCCTTTCTCTGTACATTGTAAAAAGTTTCAGAGATTGGATTATTTTTGTTATGATCTGTCGGATACCCACTCATAAATATGTATTGCTTGCTTTTTTCCCCTGAAACCATTGTGGATTTGTCTCGGGGCGCAGGGACCTATCGAACAACAGACTGGAGGCGATCCCTCCTAATCTCTTTGTTTTACTCGGGGATTTACTCCAACTGTGAGTTATATTTACACAAATGCTCTAGGATGTACAGTTGTGTATACCTTAGCAATAACATGAATATGTATTAGGGTTTATATGTTGATGCTGTTAAGAAATTACCATTACTTCATTACAGATTAATGCAGATGGTTTTTAATGTTATAATTAGACAAGAAAGTACTCTTTGATAGATTACTCCAACACATTGCATTTTCTTGCTTCTTGTTTCACAATAAGAAGCCACTGTCTTTCCTAAAGACAGCTAATAACAAAGCTGTTATCATTCAGATAAATTGGATGACCTGCTACATTTGTTCTTCTGAATCCCTCGTTCTGAGGTTATATCTGAATCTAACACCCCTGCATTTTAAAACATACTTTAGAGAGATAATAACAGCTTGAAAATACTCTACATGCCTATTTCTGAGAAAACAAACGTACAAAAATAGACCATTTGCATTATTCAATGAAATTCTACAGAATTGACGCTTGACAGGCAGTTAATGCACTGAATGTCAACAATGCGGTGGGTGTGTAACAAGGTAACGATAAATATTGCAAGGACACAGCTTCATGAACATGCACCAGTTGTGGCTGTCACATGTAGCGGAGAAATGTGGACCCAAACACGAAGACAGGAGCGAATAACAGAAAGATACCTTTATTTAAAGGCGTGGTCCAAGGCAAAGGCAAAACAGGGCTAACCAGGACCGAACAGAACTTCCTGATGTAAGACAAACGAGTATCCAACAAAGACTGAACAAAAACCAGGACTTGAAGGTCACCTATTATGCAAAATCCACTTCTTCATGTCTCTTCTACATCAACATGTGTCCCCTCTGTGTAAAGAGCTTCTGAAAGTTTCAGGAAAAAAGATTCTCTCTCTTATTGTCCTGATCCATTTATATAAAAACCTGTCTGAAAATGAGCTGATCAGATTTTGGCCAATTTATGATGTCATAACGATTTTTGTGGCTTGTGTAACCATTAGCCAATCACCAACCAAGGTAACCCCCCCCCCCCACACACACCTTATCACCTGAATCTCCTCCTAGAGCTCCATTGAGTTATTTTTAACCAGATATCTCTCAGAGGGGCGGGGAGGGGCTCCTTATTCTCATCTAAAGTAACAGACAAAGAATCAGCACTTTTGAAACAGGGCTAAAACAGAGGGGATTATGGGTAATGCTGCAATGATCTGTTTGGTGTTTGGAGCCAAACTCTTCAGACATGTTTGTATATATCTGAGACCTGTAATATATTGATGAAAAACAGTAAAATAGGGGACCTTTAAATACAAGGAAGTAATGCTAGGGATAATACTTCATGATAATGGTAGTTAAAAGCAACCACCCACTTGCATAGACAACGTTGACACTTGTTAGGTAAATGGAAATGATTTCGACATTATGTAATTGAATGTTTTCTTTTATCTTTTAGGAATATATCATATAATCCCATCATGGAGCTCCAAGTCGACCACTTTGACAAGTTGCATAAACTGAAGTCATTGTAAGTATACACCAAACGTCTCCTGCAAGAGAAAATAAAGAGGCCCTTTTATGCTTTTGGGGGATTTGCCTTCCCTGTTGTCTGAAAAAACCTCTATTGGACTACTTTGCTTACTTCCTGTAACACAGTGACATCACCTAGTAACACTGTGACTTGTGCTTATATTGGCTAGCGCTCCAACACATTGTACATGATAGGGCTCAGACTGGGCTCTGGTTTCAGACAGAGGGGGAAAAGAGGTGCTGCAGCACAGGCAGTATGAGAATAATAAAGAGATTTTTGAGCATTACATTAGTAGAGGCAAAGTAGAGGCACACAATACAAATATAAACCTGGACATTAGCATATAAGGACCCCTTTGTGCTTGATTTGAGTCATTCAGCTCACATGCTTAAAGTTGCAGAAGAGCATGAACAGAAACACATCGGTGATGAACCTGTACAATGTGAAATGTTCACACAAGTCCTTGAAAAGCTATTAGAGGACAGCTTTTGTGCTTCTGAAAACTCTTTTAGCTATAAATCCATAAAGCTAAATGTGTCTGTGTGAGTGGATCCTGACTGAATATATATCTATTCATACTCTCCAGGAGCATAGAAGGGATCGAAATTGGAAACATACAACGGAGGATGTTCGAACCTCTCAAATACTTGACTCATATGTAAGTACTCCATTGTCATTGTTGTACTGCTAAACCTCATTTGGCCTTGACTGTCATGCTGATTCGCACCATATTCCTTGTGGATAGTCCAACAACAAGCCTTATCGAGATTGTCAGGGTTCTCTTCCAACTGGGATATGATTAAGTCAGGCTTAATGTAATCCATGGTCTCTGTGTGTATAACAGCTGAAGATGCACATGCACCTCTAGCCAGGGATGTAATGGAGAAAAAATAAAGGCTCTTCCAGCATTGCAAACAATCATTGAACCTCCTCCAGGCCTTTTCTTCCATAGTTTCATTCATGATTCAGTAGGATAGTTTGTTTTGCTGTAAAATAAAAAATCGATATATATTCATATCAGCCTCTGCTATGTTTGTCGAGCTAAAAGTAAATGACAGCCTGCTAAGCTGTAAACTAAAATGGTGACCGTGGTTAACTTTTCCTACTTAGCATTAGCATGTCAATATTGCCATTGTGAACAACATTACATTGCATTTAGCTGACGCTTTTGTCCAAAGCGACTTACAATAAGTACATTCGACCAGGAAGACACAACCTTGAAGAAAACAGAATCATATAAGTACATCAGGTTTCATAGAGCCAAACATTTCAAGTGCTACTCAACTGGCTTTAGGTAAGCCAGTCCTTTATTAGTATAAAAGTGCTTCGTTAATAGTTCTATCGCTCGAAGTGGAGTCGAAAGAGATGAGTTTTCAGTTTGCGCCGGAAGATGTGCAAGCTATCTGCCGTCCTGATGTCAATGGGGAGCTCATTCCACCATCTTGGAGCCAGGACAGCAAACCCACGTGTTTTCGCCGATGGGAACTTGGGTCCCCCTCGCAGCGAGGGCGCAACGAGTCGTTTGGTTGATGCAGAGCGGAGTGCACGCGCTGGGGTGTACGGTTTAACCATGTCCTGGATGTACGAAGGGCCAGATCCATTCGCAGCATGGTACGCAAGTACCAGTGTCTTGAAGTGGATTCTAGCAGTTACCGGAAGCCAGTGAAGGGAGCGGAGGAGCGGAGTGGTGTGGGAACATGTAGGAAGGTTGAAGACCAGACGAGCCGCTGCATTCTGGATGAGCTGCAGAGGTCGGATGGCACATGCAGGTAGACCAGCCAGGAGGGAGTTGCAGTAGTCTAGGCGTGAGATGACGAGAGCCTGGACCAGAACCTGAGTCGCTTTCTGTGTCAGCTGGGGACGTATCTTCCTGATGTTGTAAAGCGTGTATCTGCAGCAACGGGTTGTAGCAGCAATGTTTGCAGTGAAGGACAGGTTGTTATCTAGGGTCACACCCAGATTCCTTGCAGTCTGAGTCGGGGAAACAACTGAGGTGCCGATGTTGATTGTTAGGTCAAGAGTGGGACAATCTTTTCCCGGGAGGAAGAGCAGCTCAGTCTTGTCAAGGTTGAGCTTGAGGTGGTGAGCAGACATCCACTGAGAGATGTCAACTAGACAAGCAGAGATGCGTGCGACGACCTGGGTCTCTGAGCGGGGAAAGGACAGAATTAATTGGGTGTCGTCAGCGTAGCAGTGGTAAGAAAAACCATGCGGGCTAATGACAGATCCAACGATGAACAACATGCAGCTTCTGTTAGAACCATAAATGGCTTTGTATTCCGCTTTGTTGTACCAGTGGAGGTGAAGGTATTCATCAGATGTCCCAAAGTAATTGCAAAATACAGTACACTACAAATCAAAGAGAAGCATGTTAATCGAAATAGCTTTTTTTGATTAAGTGCACTACCTTCAAACCCCAAGAACAGATGCTCCCCTCGCTTTAAATCAAAACAAATCCCAAATACAAAAAAAAAAATCAGACAACTTTCCTACTGTCTCAGTTTATGAAAAAAGAATAACCCTGTACAATACAGCTTTATTTATAAAGCAATTTAAAACCTCCAGACCAGAGTGCTGTACGAATGCACGCTTGGTGGTAAAACAAAACAAAAAGAAAACCTTGCAGCTGTAAATAAATAGACTCCCTCGTGTTCTTGATGTTCATGTAACTTGATCATCTTCTTTGATCTGCTTTCACAGCTACTTCAAGAAGTTCCAGTACTGCGGCTACGCTCCTCACGTGCGCAGCTGCAAACCCAACACAGACGGCATCTCGTCCTTCGAGGACCTGCTGGCCAACATCGTGCTGAGGGTCTTCGTTTGGGTCGTCTCCGCCACCACATGCTTCGGCAATATCTTCGTCATCTGCATGCGCTCCTACATCCGATCAGAGAACAAACTCCATGCCATGTGCATCATTTCCCTCTGCTGTAAGTCACGCTTCATTTAAACCAGGGGGGTCAAACTCAAATACACAGTGGGCCAACATTAAAAAATGGGTACTAGTCGAGGGCCGGACTGGTTCAATGTTTATTGCAAAACGTATTGAAATGAACTTATTGCACATATTAAACCTGGAACTAACAAAGCTTAAATGATTGCCTATAAAAACAACATTAAACATTAAATAATCAGTTGCATTAATTTCTTATGGCTCTATCTGCAGCTTTTCCAGAGTCATTTCTTATGATTACATTTCTCCACAGGCCAACAACAGCTTCAACAAAACTATTTCCCTCAAAGAGAAACCAAACATGCCCTGTTGTCGTGAGAGAGAAAGTGCAAGAGGAAACATCCATGGAAACCCAGTGTGCTGCTCTGTGATGCTAGTTCAAGCAGATACTTAGCATCTCATCTTGGGTGCAAGTTCATCAATGTTTGGGGTCAGGCTCTGAGCAGAGGAGACCCTCAGGATGGAGTGAAGGTGTGCGTGCAATATACCGGCGGGCCAGATCTAATAGTAATTAGAAATGATCCTGCGGGCCGAAATTAAATCCACCACGGGCCTGATTTGGCCCCCGGGCCTTGAGTTTGACACGTGATTTAAAGCATGGATGTGTAGAAGCTTTTTACTTATATCATAATATTCTTTACGTTCACCATGAAGTGACGACATTACAAGTCATTAGGAGGAAGAAGATGTAGTATTAACTGCTCAAAATACGATAGATAACTGTTTGCACTATTCATCAATTGCAAGCACCTCTCTATGTTTATAGACCTGGTGTAAAAGTGACAAATTCTGCAAAACAACTTTTCTTCTTGGGAAGTTAAAAGAGGTCCAAGCTTTTTGAAATTGAAATGAGTTTGAAATGTGCTTATCAGTGCGTTTCCTCACATATTGTATATTACACACAAAGTTAAACACCCTCATGAATAAGACTAAATGCAAACATAATAAAATCTCAGTCCAAAATAAACATCTCAATACAAATATTTACATACTCCAAGAACTGATTCCTGCACAAACCGCTCAACGATTACCGTCAGTGATAAATGATCGCACTTTCCCGACTCTTCCACCAGATAATAAACAGTAATGTAGATGCACCAAGTTTATGTATAGTTTTGAAATATAGCTTGTTCATTGATTACTTTTTTTATGGCATAAACTCACAATAAACTTTCAAAAACCCCTTGACATGAACGCCTTGGCATATTAGAAATGTGTGAGTGTGATATTTAGATATGCAACCCTATCTTCTTCTTAGATATGCGGTGGCATTCAGATGGGGATGAAGGGGTGAGTGATCAAAGGGCTTCTTCTTCTGCAGAGTTCTCTTATAAATATATAAAAAAAGGAGATTCTGGAGATGATTGCTTTACAATGCACAGTTGTACAATTGCTCCTGTCTCACTACTGATTTTTGTACGGAAATGATGTAAAGATGAGAATTTGAGAATTGGCATGGACACTGCACAGGTAGTGGTTTAATATAAACTGCAATCATCTAAGGCAGGGGTGTCAAACTCAATTTCATCGCGGGCCACATCAGCATTATGGTTACACTCAGGGGCCGGTTGTAACTATATAAATACACAGTACCAGTCAAAACTTTGGACACACCTTCTCATTCATTTATTTCATTTTCATTTAATCGTTTATTTGGTAGGGACAATGCACAATAATGAACACTTCAAACGTTAAAATGCGTCAAGCGTAACAGTGCCAGATTTAGCTTTGAGCTCATTTCCATCCGCAGTCCCTCACATAAAACATTTAAGAAAATTACTAGGGCCGGGACTTTAACGCGTTAATTAAGATTAATTAATTACACAAAAATTAACGCGTTAAAAAAATTAACGCATTTTAATCGCACTTATTTTTGCACCGCGGAACGTTTTTCACTGGATGAGTTTCAGGCGTACCGATTATACTGGAGCACCAACTAACGTTCATGACTTCAGACAACAACAAACCACAGTGAACAACAGTGGGAAATGTTGTTTTAAAAAACGGACGGATGGAAGCGTCGATAAGAGCACGGTTGTGTGCAAATTATGCAAAAAGGAATTCGCATATCACCGCAGCACATCCAGCCTCAAGTATCACCTCAATGCAAAACATATAGCAGCTAGCGTGGAAGCTAGCGTGGACGTTAGCCTCTTTTATCGCGTTCACACCAAAAAGAGCCGGTACTAAAATGAGTTCATGAGAACCTTTTTACCCCCACGAAAGTCCCTGCTAGAGAGCAGAGAGCTGCTAGAGAGCAGGGACTTTCGTGCGGCTCTCTTGTGAGAAAAGAGCTATATTTCTGATTCGCTGGGCGGATTGCAAACCACGCCCCGTAAAACTCCCAAAAAGTTTTGTGAAGCCGCCATTTTATTATCCTCGCATTAGCATTGTTAGCATTAGCCCAGCGCAGAAACGCAGAGAGTCTAACTTATGGCAACACAAAATAAAACATGGGAGTGGTGGAGATGAGGAGGTGTCGGCGTTCTGGCGATTTACTCGGAAGGCTTCAGTAGAAGCTGCTGGGACTCCCAGCAGCTTCTACTGAAGCCAGTCCCCAACTCCGGGGACTTCCGGCCGGGGACTTTGGGCGGCAGTATACGACGTGAAGTGGTTTGCTGCCTGCCAGTAAACCCAAAGCAGAAGAAGAAGAAGTGACGTCGGCGGCTTCATTTGCCTAATCCACCCCCAGGTTCAAAGAGTTCTCATGAACCTTTGTGGGAAAAGTACTGCGGTGTGAATGCGCCTAATGGTATACTAAAATCCATGTGAAAAAAATTGCTTCTCACTGTTCTCAGGTCAAATATTTATATGTGATTAAAAATGCGATTAATTTCGATTAATTAATTACAAAGCCTCTAATTAATTAGATTAATTTTTTTAATCGAGTCCCGGCCCTAAAAATTACATTTTACAAACATAGCAAAAACAAAATACATGATATGCAAAAAGTGCAAAAGAGCAAGAGCAGCACAAGTATTTATGACATGGCAATACAATATCATTTCATTTCATTTCAAACCTTTATTTAACCAGATTGGTCCCATTGAGATCATAGATCTCTTTTTCAAGGGAGACCTGCAGCAATTAGGTTCCACATGAAACATAAGACAACATAAAACAATAGAGGATATCATACAACATATTTACAAGCTACATTTACATACTTATCAACATTTACAAATACCCATAGTCTCAAAGAGCATTTCACTTAGACTAGCTTTAAAAACATTCAGAGGAATACAATTGCTCAGTTTCAATTGTAGCTGTAGATTGTTCCAAGCAAGTGGAGCTGTGCACATAAAAGCTGTCTTACCTAAGACAGTCCTTGCTCTTGGTACATCTAACAATACTACATCATGCGATCTCAGACAATAGCTGCTTGCAACTCTCTGTGTTATCAGAGAGCAGATATAATACGGGAGTTTACCCAACAAAGCTTTATAAATAAACGTGTACCAATGACTGAGCCTCCGTACAGTAAGTGATGGCAAACCTGCCTTAGTATATACAGTGTACAGTGATGTGTAAGTGCTTTACAATTAGTGACACATCTCAGTGTGCTGTGAATATAGCAGCAACGACATGTAAAGTGCAAGAGGAGATACAAGAGATACCTAAAGTTCAAGAGGAGATACAAGAGATACCTAAAGTGCAAGAGGAGATACAAGAGATACCTAAAGTTCAAGAGGAGATACAAGAGATACCTAAAGTTCAAGAGGAGATACAAGAGATACCTAAAGTGCAAGAGGAGATACAAGAGATACCTAAAGTTCAAGAGGAGATACAAGAGATACCTAAAGTTCAAGAGGAGATACAAGAGATACCTAAAGTGCAAGAGGAGATACAAGAGATACCTAAAGTTCAAGAGGAGATACAAGAGATACCTAAAGTTCAAGAGGAGATACAAGAGATACCTAAAGTGCAAGAGGAGATACAAGAGATACCTAAAGTGCAAGAGGAGATACAAGAGATACCTAAAGTGCAAGAGGAGATACCCCTGTGTTAAAGTGCATTTAGTGTCTGTTTGTTTCTCAACCATTCTTTGAGTTGGCCTTTAAAACTATTGAAGGTTTTTATGTATTGTAATACTTTTCTACATTGTAGATTAATACTAAAGACATCAAAACTATAAAAGAACACATGAACAAAACAAAAAAGTGTTAAAAAATCCAGAATATAATTTATATTTGAGATTCTTCAAATGACCCCCCTTTTGCCTTGATGACAGCTTTGCACAGTCTTGGCTTCTCTATATAAATATACATATATAAATATATAATATATATTACATAATGTATTATATTACATTATTGGCTCTGCATTGGATTATTATCAGTTCTGGTAATAACTACGTCTGAAAGCAGAGGTCTAGGGCAAATAATTGAAAGCAAAAATTTAACAATTACACCAATTGTATTTTATATAATATTCTTTGCAAGCTCTTGCAGGCCGCATAAAATGAGGTCAGGGGCCAGATTTGGCTTCCAGGCCTTGAGTTTGACACCCATGTTAGATTCTTATTTCCTTAAGTCACAGGAGGAAATTGAAATCATGGCAGCATGTCGGTGAAGAGAACATAGAACAAGCAAATCCATCTTTATGGAACAGGCTGCTAGGATTCACTGAATGGCTCTATGCATGTGTAAAAAAAAAAAAGGGTACAATGCCTGTATGGTTATTATTCATATGAGAATTTCATCAAAGAGAAAATATACCAAGATATATGGGAAATGAATGTTCGTAATAATACTTTACTGTAGCTGGCGTTTCAGATCTCCGAGTCAAATATAAAGGATCAATGAACTTACCATAAGTCTCAAAGCAGCTCAGATCAAAGCGCTCAGAATATGCAAAGCAGAAGTTCTATGTTATCTGATATCTGCTTTCTTTCCTGCTACTACCACAGCCAAGCAGAGGAAGACAGGCGTTATTCATTATGTCATTTTGGGGCTTTCTACCTCAACCTTTAGGAAGTTTGTTACTAAAATGTCAGTGGGGATTGTTTTCAGTAGCACACTAATGCCGATAGCTGAGATCCAGGAAAAACAAAAAGGTCAATAACACAAGCCAAATATTTTCACGTAATTTCATTATTTGCATTTTTGTAACAACAGTGGAATATGACTCTCTGTGGAGGCAGGGCATATCTGGAAGTTGTTTTTAACCCTTGTGTTGTGTTCGAGAGCTGTTACTGTTCATGATGTTCGCGGGTCAATTTTGACCAATGATTTATTTCAGTCCAAAACACACAAAAATAATGAGTATCATCCAATATTGTTTGAACTACATCATAACTAACCGTAGAATCCTGTTGTAATTGTATGGCCCCAAAACACATTACACTACTAGTGCACACGTGCATGTGTGTGTTCAGGTTCAGTGTACATATACTTTGAGAAAGGTTGAGTCCCCGTGGGGGGAGGGGGGCCAGAGGGCGGGGAGACCAGGTGCATGTTGCGAACAATGATTGTTACAGTGGATGAAGGGGGCGGGGGAGGGGTCTCTAAAGTCAAAGATGAATCTTGATTGGGCCAAATTTGACCTCGAGTCACCCACAACAATTCTGCTGGGTCTCCCCAGACCCGAACACCAAATGATACACTTTTTTTTTAGAGACCTTCAGACTTGGCTAAAATGGTCAAAATCAGTTTAGTAGTGTTTATATAGCTGTTGTGGAGGATATCATGAAGCCTTGTTCCGATACAAAAAACTAGAGCGTAGTTATTATATAATTTTAACTTGAGACGGGTCACGGGAGACCCGAACACAACATAAGGGTTAATCCAGTTATTAAAGGTGTGGAACAAATTGAGTCTGCAAACAAAGAAATGATAAAGAAAGTACAAACAGATAGAGTAAAGGTCAGCTGGTAATGTTGTTTAAAAGCCAATTCAATTAATTTGAAATAATTATTCTTTCTTTGTTGTGAAATTAACTTGTCACTTTATGTTATGTTGGGCTTTACCCTTTCACACCTTTTTCACATTGTTCCCTGCCAATGTCACCTTTCATTTTCATTCAGATGGCTTATTTATTATCTTTCTTAAAAAAGTCCATCTCACAGAGGACCAAATTGAGTCAGCAAGGGGGCAAATGTTTTACATGTTTATTGTTTAATTAAATAACTATTATAATTGCAGCCACAGGAAGAACGTTGTTTTTGGATGGCATTTCTCAGCTGCCACATTCATGTTTAGCACAACAAAGCTTCCTCCCTGCTGTGCCATTTAATTTTCACATGACCAATATTAAGATAAAAACTATCAGGGAGTCTTTAATGTCTAAATAAATATATATATAAATATATATATATATATATTCACTGTGTGTAAAATAAACATCTCTTTGAAGAGCATTGGTGGGTTTCCATATCAAATGACTCACTCTCAGCGGGTTTAAGTTATTTCATTTAGTATTAATAACATCAAGGAGTGACTGATGAAGCATTGGTGAATTCCTCTGAGGATTACAGTAATAAGTCCAACCAGCACTTTAAAAAAAGGTCCTCAAACTATTGTGATGGATTTAAAAGAGGACAAAGAAAAAGTATAAAACATGGGATCGGGATTTATGTGTGCTTTGTTGAGCTTTGCTAACAGTCAATGAAACACATGTTTTCCATGAGATGTAACATAAAAAGCCCAGAGATAACTGCCGAGTGTACAACTATCCATACTGAAAATATCAACATGGTAGGTAAAAAACTATTATCCAACTTTATTGTATGATTTGTGGTCATATATTATTATATATTTATTCACAGGATAATATTTAGTTTTACAATTTACTTGTTGAGCATAATCATAAAGACTGGAAACAGCTTAATCTGGAGAAAAATTGAAATGTTTAAAAACTTTTTTTATTAAAAGTGAGAAAAAAGTGAAAGATATCACATATATAATAATAATAATAATAGTAATAAGAAGAAGAAGAATATAGTTGAAATAAATTGTAATTGTGGTTAAATAACATTGTCTGCTGCATTTATTTGGTCAATTTAAACGGTAGCCTAAGTAACGTTATTATGTCAGGTGTGCGTGACCTGTGCCAACACAGTCTCACTCCCTGAACGTCCAGGAGCGACGCTTGGTCAGGGTCCTATGGCGTGCAGATGTGACGTGCCGAGTCTCCTCTGAGCGTTCATCATCTGCAAGGTGCTTACACGGCAGTCAATGATGGACATCAGAAAATGGTTAAAACAACCAGCCCTTATCGCCAGCAGTAACACTGCATCTACTGCAGGTAATAACAGTTCAGATCATGGGGACATTACGTTTCCCGCGGCCACTGTCGTGGACACTAACGTCCTCCCGCCCGACTCGCCGGCTTTGCCCGCCTCGCCCACGGAGGTGGAGCAGCCGCAGCCGTCTTCGTTGCCCCAAACACCGCCACCCCTCGGCGGCCCGCAAGTGCCAGAGGACCTCGGCAAAACAGAGCCTGCCCAGGTATATTTAAAAAAGTACCCAACTCGCCTGTACAGTGGGGTAAGGCGCTCATTTTGCAGCTCATGGTTTCAAAACAGAGATAGGCTGGAATATTCCCGTAAAAAAGATGCCATCTTCTGCTATGCATGTAGACATTTCAGTCTTAAAAGGGGAGTGGTTTGTAAAATATCCATAAAGAAAAAGTAAATCTGTGTATAGTTCTGTTTCATATGGGTGTTGAGATGTATCCAATCCATAGATCTCTTCATGTTGCTCTCAAAGTGCACCAGATTGATGCTTTTAACTTCAATATTTAAAAAAAAAATCTTCCCGGGAGAGCATGCCCCCGGACCCCCCTAGAGGAGGTGAGGACCCCCCTAGAGGGTGTTAAGCCCACTCCCCACTTATAAAAATAGCACTTTACCACTGCACCCTCTCTAATCTCAGATGCACCCCGAGTCATTTTGTTCTGGAACCGGGCCTGTCAAGGGGTAATCAGTCACATTGTGTTTTAGCCTCTTATAGCACGCTAGATAAACACACATCTTTACTCTTCTTCTGAATAGTAAATTACAGCTTTGCTTTCCACAGGCGCAGACGGGCTGATGGGCATCTACCTCTTCATGATTGGCGCGTATGATCTGAAGTACCGCGGCGAGTACAACCGGCACGCTCAGGCCTGGATGGACAGCAGTCAGTGTCAGGTCATCGGATCTTTGGCCATGCTGTCCACCGAGGTGTCCGTCCTTCTCCTCACTTACCTCACTCTGGAGAAATACATCTGCATCGTGTACCCTTTCCAGTACCTGACGCCTGGCTGGAGACGAACTGTCACCATCCTTCTCGGGATATGGGTGTTCGGCTTTATCATTGCCCTTCTGCCGCTGGTCTGCAAGGGGCTGTTTCGCAACTTCTACGGCACCAATGGAGTTTGCTTCCCGCTTCACTCTGAGCAGCCAGAGACAGCTTGGGCTCATGTTTATTCCATCGTCATTTTCCTGGGTGAGGATTTATTCTTGCAATTCCCCTTGTTTGCTTGTTGATTTCTTCACTTCTCACTGAAGCTTTTTGTACCAACTGTCTCATTATCCAGTGACAATATCTGTATTATTTTGCAGATTATTGGCTGTTTTGTTGTTATTGTTCAGCCACAGTGGACATATGAGCTTTTCTAATTGCATTGCAAAGAAACTAAGTGAACATCTCTCCGCAGGTCTCAACTTGGTGGCGTTTCTCATCATTGTTTTATCCTATGCAAGCATGTTCTATAACATCCAGAGAACAGGGACTCAAACCACCAAATACAGCAACCACATCAAGAAAGAGGTGACCATCGCCAAGAGGTTCTTCTCTATCGTCATCACTGACTCCCTTTGCTGGATCCCCATCTTCATTCTCAAGATCCTGTCGCTGCTGCAGGTGGAGATTCCTGGTACAGTAAAACGTTAACTTTTATAGGAATGCTCAGATGAAAGTGTAGATATTAAAAACACACCTCATTTTTGTAAAGCACTTTGAATTGCCTTGTGCTGAGTACGCCCAAAGGTAGTTAAAGTCATTATTGGGGTTGAAGTCCCCTACGTGTGCCGTTTTGGTTTCAAGACCCTGGTTCGCGGAGGACACCAAAAAAGTCCTAGAAAAGACAACTTAAACTTAACTAATGTGCATTTAAAGAAAAGAGGAATAGTTTTGGCGAAAACTCAAAAGGTACCATGGGGTACAGGAATTAGCTTTGGTTTCAAGACCCTGGTTCACGGAGGATACCAAACAAGTCCTAGAAAGACAAGGTAAACTTAACTATGTGCATTTAAAAATAAAAAAGAGGAATAGTTTCGGCGAAAAGTAAAAGGTACCATGGGGTCAGATTATAATTTTCCAAAGGGAGTTTGGTTCAGATGTGTGTATCTCACACTGCACTGTACTGTGATGTATCTTTGCTTTTAAATTAGTGTTTTTAGATATCATATGTTTCTTAAATGCTATTAATGTCTTTCATTTTTGTAAAGCACTTTGAATTGCCTTGTGTTGAATTGTGCTATATAAATAAACTTGCCTTGCCTCAGTAGGCTAGAGAAGTGGCTCAGAAAAGTTTGTAGCTTGCATATTTTGTGCAGTAACGACAGCCGTAGTGTGATTAAATCCCAAGAGTTACATTGGGTAAAAAGCTTTGAAATGGCCATAACAATGTCTCCGCTTAACCACTTATCGGCTGTTGATTCCTGTGCAAATAGTTCCCCCTATCGTTATCACTTCTGCTGAACTGTTTTGCTATGACAAAACTGCAAGAGACAGAAATAAAGTGCACACTATTAAGAGCCTCCTTTCAAGTTTACAGGCAGATCCGAAGAGAGACATTCGGTTGAGTTTGTCTCGTAAGTTAATTGTCTGTTTACACTTCAAAGTGGTCAAGCAGGTATTCCCACTAAGTTGTGGATTGTTTTTGAAGTTTTGTAATGACTTTATAAACAGTGCTTTACTGAGCCACCTTTGAGCAGTTTGTATACCCAAATGAGCCATTAGTGTTGTGCATAATCCATTATATAAATAACCTGCTGAGCTGTGGCTCCCTAATTAGGTCCCCTGTAGGGATAAAGGGGATTTTCATTTAATATACAAATGGGTTTGATAAAAGGTCTTGTGTTGAAGTTGCCTCCCAATTCATAACAATGTCCACCTAATCATCTTTAAACTTTACTTTTTAACAGCTCTGTACTTGTGTTTTCTGTCTCTGAAGGTACCATCAGTTCCTGGGTGGTCATATTTATTCTGCCCATTAACAGCGCCCTAAACCCCATCCTTTACACGCTGACCACACGGCCTTTCAAAGAGACTATTCTGCAGGTATGGGCAAACTACAGGCAGAGGAGGCCTCTGCTCAGCGGCCACCCAGCTCAACATCCATCTCTAACATGGCAGGAAATGTGGCCCCTGCAGGAAAACAGCAATGGCCCCACCACGGGTCACCTGCTGGAAACTACCGCCACGATAGCCAAGCTCACACCTGTGGAAAATACCAACGATGGATACAATGTCATCACCACATGCACACAACAAATACCGAAGAAGCATACAGTGCTGTCAGTGTGCTCAAAGGACGAAAAAGTGCCACTCACACACACCCCAACACACACACAAACACAAGCAAACAATGTGGGTGACGATTAGCATGTATCTGTTTGTGTATAATTATCAAAGAGTCACCTAAACAGATTAAACGTGATTCATGTTCATTGATCTCAGTAATTATTCAGTCCCAGATCTGTGAACAGATGTATCCCTTGTGATTATACATCATTAGTATTCATTATTATCTTTGTAAATCCCATTGTATTGCCCAAGCAGCAGCCATCACAGAAATGGATGAAGACAGAGCATGTAGCACTACAGCTCCTGTAATGAAGAAATCGGCTTCAAAAAGATATATCACTGCTGAATTTATAATGGTGATAAATCATAAAAGTATTAGTTAGGATCGACTACAACTCTTAATAAGCATTGTATAGCGCCTCTGTGGGCAAGACTCATTAGATGTTGAATGATATAGTAGCGCAGTCTGTTGGTTCAAGTCCCCGAACCAAGTAAATGCAAAGTCTACATTTTACTGTGTGTGATGTGCTGTGCATGATGTGACGATAGAAAAAGGATTTAATCCAAATCAAAATACTTTGAATATGTTGAGTGTTTAAGTTCATTATTGATATTTCAAATCTGGAAAGTCATGTCTTGACAACCCAAGATTTACTCTCCAGCCCTTCACTCATCATGCCAGATGCGGCCATCTGTCTGGGGGCTTAAGGCCAGGAAAATGTGCCCTCTGCTCTGTCTTAATATATTATAATACCTCCTTTCCCCCCACTCACTCACACACACACACACACACACACACACACACACACACACACACACACACACACACACACATACAATTAAACATACACAGAAAAGCACTGCTACTGTTTAGCAGAAACGTATATGTATATGTATTTACCTGCCCCATACTGTATTGTGTGTGTGTTGTTATTGTCTGTTTTACACTGTGTTGCAAGTATTGAGAAGAAAAAATAAAATGTTATGTCATGTAATGGACAGTAACATTTTCTAATATAGTCAAACTGACCTCAACTGGCATTTGTTTTTTAAACTTCAGCAAGTTCATTGTAATTGTTTATTGCCTTCCTCCAGACCCTGAGGAAGGATGGACGCTCTCTGTTGCCTCTGCCACCAAACATTTTATGTATGGAAATATTGAATGTATTGAATGACAAATGTCAAGTATGTTCAACAAATAATGTAATTAACTTGGGTAAAAGAACATTTCCCAGCTGGTCTGGGGTTTGAACTTGACTCAACAAACCACCACACAGCACAGTTTCTACACTGATCTCAAGTGAAGACATTCATGAACTCTCCTGTATATACCTTGTTCAATGAATTACTGTTTCCTGTGGAAATGTACCTTTTAATTGATGTTGTAAATGACATTGTAAATGTATGAATGTATAACAAAAATACTATTAGAGAATAAATTAGTTGTAAATGCCACTTGTATTTACGTTACAATCCCATAATGTACATGCTGAATAGACAGAACCAACCGTTGAGATATGTTGATAATATCTGCAGACATGCATTACATGTTGACGGGAAGACATGTTCTTAAAATGTTGCAATTTATTTTTGTTGTTTGGTGTCCTTGTATGTACTTTTTTGTTTTTCTTGACATGTGGATAGTAAATATACATGCTTCTGCTTGTTGACTTATTTATTTGAATTGCATTGGTTATTCATCCTATTCGTTTGGGCATTGACATAGTTTCTCTCATAGGTTGACATAAAAGTACTTCGCAATTGTTAAAGAAGAAGGGTTAAAGTGACACTACCAGGGCTGTATAATATGAGAAAAATATGTATTATGCAATAACATTACATAAAGATATTACTAAAGATACATACGATTAAAGATATTAATGTGTATTTAAAAGAAATACATTATTTTCAACAATGTTTAATCAATATGGAAGAAGCACTAAAATACAATAGAGGTGCGTCTTCTTTGTAGTAATGCAATGCTGCATTCATTTGGAGTCACTAGGTCCCATAATATAAGCGGTATTAAAAACCTAAATACTCTAATATAAAACTGGCGGATTTTAATACAAATATGAATATAAAAAAGGAAGAAGCACTAACATTAAATGAAAAGAGGTGTGCCCTTTTTGAACACCTGTAGTAAATGAATGTGCAGTACAGTTTTTCGCAAAAAAAGTGAATACAGGACTTATACTTGTAACAAAGTATTTCTACATTGTTCTATAATTTCCTTTAACTAAAATATATGTTATCTTCGGATATTATATCATCTTTTTATCCACCGATTGTTAACTATGGTTTCTACGTGTACGGTCTTTTCTAAACCCTGTGTGAAGTGGCCTGGGACGATTGAAAAACAACAGCTGACTTCTAAACGTGTTCAACACAGATCTACCATCACCTGGACAGGGAGTGTGTTGTACAGATCTACCATCACCTGGACAGGGAGTGTGTTGTACAGATCTACCATCACCTGGACAGGGAGTGTGTTGTACAGATCTACTATCACCTGGACAGGGAGTGTGTTGTACAGATCTACTATCACCTGGACAGGGAGTGTGTTGTACAGATCTACCATCACCTGGACAGGGAGTGTGTTGTACAGATCTACCATCACCTGGACAGGGAGTGTGTTGTACAGATCTACTATCACCTGGACAGGGAGTGTGTTGTACAGATCTACTATCACCTGGACAGGGAGTGTGTTGTACAGATCTACCATCACCTGGACAGGGAGTGTGTTGTACAGATCTACTATCACCTGGACAGGGAGTGTGTTGTACAGATCTACTATCACCTGGACAGGGAGTGTGTTGTACAGATCTACCATCACCTGGACAGGGAGTGTGTTGTACAGATCTACTATCACCTGGACAGGGAGTGTGTTGTACAGATCTACCATCACCTGGACAGGGAGTGTGTTGTACAGATCTACCATCACCTGGACAGGGAGTGTGTTGTACAGATCTACTATCACCTGGACAGGGAGTGTGTTGTACAGATCTACTATCACCTGGACAGGGAGTGTGTTGTACAGATCTACCATCACCTGGACAGGGAGTGTGTTGTACAGATCTACTATCACCTGGACAGGGAGTGTGTTGTACAGATCTACCATCACCTGGACAGGGAGTGTGTTGTACAGATCTACTATCACCTGGACAGGGAGTGTGTTGTACAGATCTACTATCACCTAGACAGGGAGTGTGTTGTACAGATCTACTATCACCTGGACAGGGAGTGTGTTGTACAGATCTACCATCACCTGGACAGGGAGTGTGTTGTACAGATCTACTATCACCTGGACAGGGAGTGTGTTGTACAGATCTACTATCACCTGGACAGGGAGTGTGTTGTACAGATCTACTATCACCTGGACAGGGAGTGTGTTGTACAGATCTACCATCACCTGGACAGGGAGTGTGTTGTACAGATCTACCATCACCTGGACAGGGAGTGTGTTGTACAGATCTACCATCACCTGGACAGGGAGTGTGTAGTACAGATCTACTATCACCTGGACAGGGAGTGTGTTGTACAGATCTACTATCACCTAGACAGGGAGTGTGTTGTACAGATCTACTATCACCTGGACAGGGAGTGTGTTGTACAGATCTACTATCACCTGGACAGGGAGTGTGTTGTACAGATCTACTATCACCTAGACAGGGAGTGTGTTGTACAGATCTACTATTGCGCAGTTGCCATTCCGCGCAGCTTTTGACGCTCTCAAACGTCTGTGTTATGAGACGTGTTTTATAAGGCTCACATTTATTTGCCTAACGGGAGTGTTACACAAACTGTTCACTGACAGAGGGGACACTTCACCTCTACTGATTTAAAGAAAGAAAGGGAAAACTGCTGGTGTCTGGTCAGCGTACGCTATCTGTCACATCATGTTTCCAGCTAGCAGATATTCAGCTGCTAAAGGTACGTAATCTAATGGATAGTTAGCTAACACAGTGCGAGCCTGCTGTAGAAACTTTTCACCGACACTCTTTCAATATGCTACAAATGATTTATATACATACTACTGCCTGTTTTATCAGGTGCTTTGTTCATTTGTGCACTAGTTTGTTTTGTTTTCCTCACATGCTAGCGTTAACAGTCCAATATTCTAATGTTAGCATCAAGCTAAAATATAGGTGAAAGTTGAATCAATATTTAGGTCACTTGAACAGTGTCCTTGTCCTTGGTTATGGAAACCATTTACCCTTTTTCAGAAACTAAATGGTATTGTTAGTCATTTGTTACTGTTTTGAAAGTTATTTAAAGTGTTTTTCGGCATAAGGCAGATGTTTATGTGCAGCATTACACTTTGAAATGAGCTTAGCTTAGTTTACTGACTAAACTACTAGCTATCATGGTGCTCCTGTTGCAACCTTAGTGTGACAGCTGCTTGTCATTTTATCTACATTAGCTACCAGTATGATTTTTCATATGTCTGTACAGGTTTTATGGTTTAAAAATCACCCTTACTACATTGTGCAACCTACCTAAAGCTTGCATTTATTTGTCATGTATCCAATATATTGCATTTGTGTTTTATCACTTAGGAACCAGATCAGGTTGAACTCAACCAGTTAGTACACTAGATAGTACAAACAACATGCACTACTAGTTTCAGCTGGTCTTGACTTGAAGCTCTGTTTTCTCTCTCTTGCAGCTCACAGGTGTATCAGGGCATTGAAGACTGTCCAACTAGAGCATGCTGCCCCTCAGCAGTACACAACCATAAACAGACGGGCTTCCTCTTCAGTAACAACACCCCCCATCACCACACACTACACTATCCATTCTCGGGACAAGGATCCAAGATGGGAAGGTAAGCCAGCCTCTGCACTATCCAAAGAAAGAGGGTTGATCTTCTTGTGTCTGTCTTAAGCAACACAGTCTACCAATGACCATCTCTATGCGAACTGTAGGTACTTGTCAAGAGATATATTTGTGATTTGGTTTTAACTCAAGATATATGTAACGGGTGTTCATATAACTACAGGAGTATAAATGATGTGTGTTCACCTTTACTCTACATAAAATAAGATTACGGTGATATTCCTGCAATATACTGAATTAAGCCAGTTAGACATGGATGACAACAAGAAGTTCAACCTGCTTTACACTTTGACAGTTTCCTAATTGTTGCCTATAGTAATATTTAGTGAAACATATTTGTGTGGATTTGCAGTGATTTGACTGATCCAACTACTTTCAATTTGCATGATAAACGCATTGCAAAAGACTCCAATATTACACTCTGGAATCTTCTTATCATGTCAGTTGAAAGCAAGCATTATTACTAGATAAGAAGCTGCACTGCTGGTAATCATTTCCTACACTTTGAAGCAGTATTGTTTTAGCACTGAAGGCAGCAGAACTACTCAACAGTACACTTCAGTATCTGTTTATTTATAACAAGTCATATTGTAATCACAATATTCGAAACGTTATCACGTATCCTGAGCAGTGGTTCTTATTCTTCTTGTGAAATATGTCACGTATCACATTGTGACGCATTAATAACCTCTTATCTTTGTTTTGAAAACCATTAAAGGTAACTCACCTGCAATTATACTTGTACTCTTTGTTTTGGTGAAAGGCTTTGCCAGTTGTTCGACACTGTGCTGCGTTACCCTTTTAAAATATCTGAATGAAAATGCACTGGCGTCTCTTGATTCTTAATCAAGTCAGAAAGAAACCATTATTTATTTTATTGTATCTGTATTATCATGCATTTTACCTCCTTGTGTCTATTAACCTGATACAATATTATATTTAGCTACATGTACCTTTTTTAAAGTTCTTAACAAATAATCTGAGGGGAATTTCTTGTTGTTTGTTTTGAACTTGTGATGTGTCATTTTGTAAAGCACTTTGAGCGGCATGTGTTGTATAAATAAAGCTTTATTATCATTATTCTTATGGTCCCAGGTATCGAAATGGAGAGGTTTGCAGACGAGGCCGATGTGGTGATAGTAGGCGGGGGCCCAGCCGGTCTTTCTGCAGCCATTCGTCTGAAGCAGCTAGCCAACGAGCAAGAGAAGGAGCTGCGAGTGTGCCTCGTGGAGAAAGCCTCTCAGATCGGGGCACACACCCTCTCAGGAGCCTGTCTGGAGCCCTCCGCCCTCAGCGAACTCATTCCTGATTGGAAGGAGCGAGGGGTGAGTGTCGAATAAAAAAGAAAAAAGTTCTATGTTTACATCATGTGCTTCAATTTGTTGTTCTTATTGTCGTATATATAGTGTCACTCTTTGACTGCAATGCTATATGTAACATAGCTACACATACTGTACTTGTAGCAATACAGGTTGTAAGACTATTATTTAAATGTCAATGTTGATAATCCCCAAAACAATTATACTATAATAAGTTAAATAAACTGCGTAAATGTTATTTCAATACACCACGTTTTATATTCAATATCCCTATTTTCAATTCAGTCGCTACTTGGCGTTAATCACATTCACAAGTACATACGACGATTGGTGCTGAGGGGTATTTCAACATTATTCAACATTTTAAGGACGAAACAATAACTTCAATTATTATTTTAGTATATACCCCAAAATGTTCAATTTTGTTTTAAATATGTTTCATCAAATATATTCATTTACAAATAAAAAATAAAAACATTTCAGAAGTTATTTTAAAAAAGGAGATTGCTGAGGATCATGATAATACATAATTTCGTCAGGCATGGGATTGACAGATGAGTCGTTGTCATTTGCACTAGTTAGCAGTGCTTAAGCAGGGCGTGAGCATTGTATTGATAAATCACTGAGTTTTCCAGATGCTCTCCACTTTGTTTTACATTCATACCGCTTAGGCAGGGCTCAAACACTCTGAGGCTCAGCTGTACAATGGATGAGAAAAACCCTGTAGTCTTCTAACTCAAATACACATAGTAGATGTTTGTGAGTGCAACACTATAACAATAACAACATCTGACCATATGCACATACACATAAACTCCTGCTATAACGTCCCACACACAAACTTACAAGGTGAAAACAATTCCAGGTTCTCTGTCAAGGCTGCTAATAAATCCAATGAAGTCAAAATCTCAACAACACATTGTGCTCTTACCTCAGGCACCGCTGAACACTCCAGTGACAGAAGATGTGTTCAGCCTTTTAACGGAGAAACACAGAATCCCTATCCCCATTTTGCCAGGTAAAAAAACAATTGTATTCTTATTTGAATAAAACATCTTTCACTTTGTAAGCCTTGTCACTGAACTGACAAGGCGGTAACAGGTTCTGCCCCTCAGAGGTCGTGTGTGTTATTGATAAAGAAATCACAACGTCATTTGTAAATGTATCTATTATTTACCACCGGGAGAAAAGAGAGATTTATTCATTCATTTCAGTGCGATGATGCAACATTGGGCTGAATATAGTCAAAGGGGGTTGGCGCATTTCAAACTTGTATGTTGACAGAAAGGTGGAAATAATTCCCCTTTTGAATTCTTCGGGGTTGTTGACTGAGATGTATGTAACACCATGTAGGTCTTCCCATGGTGAATCATGGGAACTACATTGTGAGGCTGGGGAACTTTGTGCGCTGGCTGGGGGAGCAGGCGGAGGAGCTGGGAGTGGAGATCTACCCTGGATACGCTGCATCTGAGGTGAGACATTAGGAGTTTCTGTCATGTACTGTCAAGCAATTTGCATGTGATACAAATATCCATTTCTATTTTATTCAAGGCAAGTTTATTTATAAAGCACTTTTCAACACAAGGCAATTCAAAGTGCTTTGCAAAAATGAAAGGCATTAAGAGCATAACACACATTAGAAACATTAAAAATCAAAGATAATTAGACATGAATAACACAGGAACATGAATAAAAGTGACGGTGCAGTGTAAGATGTGAATAGTTCTATTAAAAGTAGCGGCAAAAAGAAAGTCTTCAGTCTGGATTTAGAAGTAGTCAGAGTTGCAGCGGACCTGCAGGTTTCTGGGAGTTTGTTCCAGATATTTGACAACACCCCAAACTAAATTCTCTCGTTCCTCCACCCCTAGTCTTCCCGTGAAATGAGAGTTCTTTTGACAGTTTTCTAACCTTTTGATGTTCCTTTCATCCTTCTCTTTCAATCATTTTGCATCCGCAGACAACTCATTTGCCCCTGTTCTACTGTTACCCGAACCCATCTTTGACCTTTCAAACCACTTTTCAATTGAATTACCTATTTTAAGACTTCCTTCATTCATACTGCCTTTCTCAAAATATACTGTTTGTTGACTATGGTAGTGTCAATTATTTGTCAATGAAACACTATCTCGCCACTGGCCTTATTGTTGTCATCCATCTGGATACATCTTCTTATAGAGAGACACATTTTGCACATTGAATTTGGACTGTCTGTGTTATACATGTATTATCTTTTTGATTTACTCACACGACAACTATTGCACGTCTGTCAGTCTTGGGAGAGGGATTCTTCCTCTGTCTCTCTCCCAGAGGTTTGATGTGAGGGTCTAAGGACAGAGGGTGTAAAATAAACGGATTCATTACAAGATTAAATTCATATTCATTCGTAATATTCTCAAAGCTAGTGCAAAGCTGATTAAAATAATGTTCTGGCTCACGGGCATTATAAAAAATGCTTAGACTTAAAATATGTTTACATTAATGATGTTAACGTACTGTGAACCTACTATGAGTCTATTGCATACATTATAAATGTTAAAAACTGATTCAAACTAGATTAGAAATACACATATAACCAAACCTGGGGAGAACATGTTTACTGTTGAAGCAAATGGCCTGAATGTAGCAGGTGCTATAATAAAGATCAAACTCCACAGGGACCTTCCATATTTGTTCTGTGGTAGACAACAAGCCAGGTTGTTTCAGGTTTACATATACACTTTGTTTACAGCTGATTCTAGGTGGACATGTATATTCAGGGGTTTTGCCCTGGTTCGCAAAGGAGCACCTGGAGATGTTGCTTGGTGCGCATCCTTAAAATGAAATAAACCGGACCTTTTGAGGGGTACTTGACTTTATGAACAGGGGGGGAGGTGCGCTAGTGAGCACGCAGCAGTGTTACTGTGCGGAGCGCATAAAGCAGACCCTTCACGCGATAGCGAGGGGTACAGCGAGGGATCGCAGATGCCGTCGTGCCCGTGGACGGATTCAAACAATTAAACCTAAATGGCTCGCGAATTATACTTTGGCGGCCGTTAATACCTGGGCGGCCCCCCCAAGTAAAGTCTGTGTGGGAAACCCTGCTATCTTACCAGTTCTTATGCAACTCGCAAATATCTCTCTTCTCTCTTTTCTATCTCTCTCTTCTCTCATCTCCCTCTCTCTCAATGTTGGTGCCCAAATGCGCTTTTTTCAAATGATCCGGTGCTCCTTTTTTGGCGGTGGGTGCGCATGCGCACCTGCACACCAGTTATGTGCAGCCCTGTGTATATTGTTGTTTCTCAAATGTATACAACCCAGTCATCAATACCCCTTTTTGTGCTCGCTCAGTCATTTTAATATTTAACATGATTTAAGTGTGTTAATCTTCCATCTGTATTCACTTTTTGTCAAGGTTTTGTTTCACGAGGATGGAAGTGTAAAAGGAATCGCCACCAATGATGTGGGCATCGCCAAGGACGGCTCGCCGAAGGTTAGTGCCGTACAACTTTTAATATGGTAAACTTTTTAAGATTCTAATCCCCTTTGTTGCCACTTAATTGTCAAATGAAAACTTCATTTAGAGAGGCCATTCTTTACAATTGAAAGATATCACGCTTGGATACATCCTGCTCTTTGAAAGGATTTAAAGCACAAAAACAACAACAGGAACACACGCACTTGTTTTGATCTATCAAGCATGAAGAATTGCCTTTTATCCAGTATAGATGTAGCCGTGTGTATGTTGCTTCAAAGGAAATACATTGTTCCTTTTAAAGAGGCACCATTCCTTTGAAAAAGTCAATTGTTCACTGTAGGGCATTACACAGCATGTCATTCTAATCAGGTTGTAATTATTATGATTACATCAATTTTAGTCCATAAATTCGTTCTTATTGAACTTGGGAAAAGTAGTTCCTTCTCCTTCGGTTCTAATAAGGTTTGCTTTTGTTCAGCTGATGTTTGTTTTATTCTGTCCTATTATACAAACTGTTATTTTGCTCTACATAAAAAGCGGTGATTAGATTTTTACCGCACTAACCAATCAATTTCTACTACTGCTTTGCTCCAGGATGTATTTGAGAGAGGAATGGAGCTCCATGCTAAAGTCACGTTGTTTGGAGAGGGCTGTCACGGCCACTTGGCCAAACAGCTTTACAAGCAATTCAACCTGCGTGAGAACTGTGAACCCCAGACCTACGCCATCGGACTGAAAGAGGTAAATAACATACATACCGCCCACATAAAGCTACTCTGTTTGTGGCCTGAATTTAGTTTCCCCTAGTCCAGTCTTACTAATCATTCCTAATTACTAAAGTAGATCCTGACCAGATAAAAGTGGTCATTTGTGTTTGGTCATTTTTTACATTACATTACATTTAGCTGGCGCTTTTATCCAAAGCGACTTACAATAAGTACATTCGACCAGGAAGACACAACCTTGAAGAAAACAGAATCATAAAGTACATCAGGTTTCATAGAGCCAAACATTTCAAGTGCTACTCAACTGGCTTTAGATAAGCCAGTCCTTTATTAGTATAAAAGTGCTTTGTTAATAGTTCTATCGTTCGAAGTGGAGTCGAAAGAGATGAGTTTTCAGTCTGCGCCGGAAGATGTGCAAGCTATCTGCCGTCCTGATGTCAATGGGGAGCTCATTCCACCATCTTGGAGCCAGGATAGCAAACCCACGTGTTTTTGCCGATGGGAACTTGGGTCCCCCGAGGGCGCAGCGAGTCGTTTGGCTGATGCAGAGCGTAGTGCACGCGCTGGGGTGTACGGTTTAACCATGTCCTGGATGTACTTTAGTAACTTCCTATATATTCATATATAAACAACATATTATTGAAACATGAGACTTTGTACATATTTTGATATAAGAATGTCTTATTCATATTATGAATCATTTAAGTAGGTATAGGTCACACCAGGCAGATAATAACAGAGTTGATCTGTCCATCCTAATGTTCAGGTGGCTCCTCTGTTTTTACTGTGGACATGTTTTGAATCCTTTAAGTATGCAGACCTGGAGAGACTTCAGCAGAACCGATAGTGGCAGAAAGCATGAACACTTCTCTGTGTACTGTTCGCATTGTCAATTCTCCGGCCGAATACGTCAAATAATCCTTCAGTTTGTCAAATATCAGCAGCATCTCCCTTCACAGTCATCAATGCTTTCCATCCCTTGTTTTCCATCACAATAATAATATCTCTACTCAAGATATTCAATGATGTGTACACAATCTGATGTGAAGTCATGCTTTCTTGCACAAGAAAACATAATCTTAAAAAGTATTAAAAGTTGATAAATCAATTTAGCGAAAATTAAGACTATTAAACTGCATTTTCCAAGGTATTACATTTTGTAGCTTGTTTTCAATAAGTATCTAAATTGTCCAAAGAGGTTGTATTCTACAGTGTGCCTGAATGTAATCATTGCGTAGGTGTGTAGTGTGATTCTGTGTAGTTTATTTATGGCATCCCGTTGGGTTTGACGTCATCTGAACAGGACATCGCGCGCTCACTGCTTGATAGCGCCCGAAGCTCCGTTTACACCGGTTGTTAAACAACATCGTTATGGGGAAATGCAAGTTTGCGTCCAAATGGTTGGAAAATAAGGAGGAAGGACAATCAATACTGTATATAGTGAATGTGAGGCGATGAGGTCTTGAAATGTATGGAAAGGGTCTTAAAAAAGGTCTTAAAAGGTTTTACATTTGACTTCAGGATTCCTGCATATACCCTGCTAGTAAAAAGGCACTTTCGCTCTTTTACAGTAAAGACGAAGATAGTCTGTGTCAGTTGGAACGTTTAGACTTGATAGTGGCAGGGCTCTCCAACACGTCGAGCTTTTCAGTAGCTCGCCGCTCGATTATCGATTATAGCGTAGGTTGCTTCTTGATTTTTCGGCCGCGGCTGGACAATAACGTTTTTTTATTTTAGAATTTGTTTCTGTCACACGAATATAAAATTGGTCCGTGACGCAGAGATCAAGGAACAGACGTGACAGCGGCACTGCTTTCTCCACCAACACCAGTCCAGAACCAACAGCAGAATGACCCGCTCTGAATCAGGCCCTGTCGCTGCGGCTCAGAGACACAGGGAGGGATTTATGTTTTTTGAAAAACACTCGTTATCGTCATGTCAGGTTTTTGGTGGATTTGATCAAGTCTTGGATTGCAGAGTATGAATATCCTCTTGCTATTGTCAGTTGATAAATACTTGTGTAAAGTTTGTGAAGGCAGGAGGAAAGCTTCCGCGATCACCGTCTCCTCTTCGTTCCTCCAAACCCCCAGTAGCGTGGCGTGGGGAAAACAATTAGGGGAAGCCAATAATACGTCCTTTCTTTTGGGTCGGGGGTGTGGTGGTCAATGTAATAACGTAACCAGATGAGTGATTACAGCACCCGGTATCATTTTACACACATTTGTATCATACAGATGCAGGACTTACACACACCTGTTATCTAACCGACAGGTCCGCACGCACTCTCCAGCCCAAACTCTAATAAGCATTAATTCACAAACATAAATCAGGAGCCCTTTAACGTTTTACGTCCGATTCGCTCCTTTTTTCCTCTATGTACACAGCTCCAGTTTGGGCATTAGCCTGTCATCAGATTGTATTTGTTGTTGCTGCTGTAGCGGAAGTTTAGTACAATTACTTTTGATGAAATACTCCAAATCTCCACCCTCCATAATTGCACTTGCTTCAGTTGCTTGCTACTTTCTAACGGCGGTGAGAGTGGTGCAGTGACGCTATCTATCTTCTATCGATTAGATTTATGATTTGAAAATTATAAAAGTAGGGTAGACATGTGGATATTATCCGACTGAACACAACGTGCATTTATCTAACAGGTTCGTTTTCCACTGACCTTATTTCAAGCTATTTTCCAAAATCCTATGGAGAAATCCCATTGCTTTCTGTCGAGGGAAGTCGAGCGCAGCTTACTTCCGGGTTTTAGGGCGCGTCACTGCAACACTAAGTTGATGCGATTTGATTGGATTGTGAGGCAAGGGAAGCCAGCCGCCTCTGGCTTCCCTTGGCATGGCCCTGACTAATCACAGGTTGGCAGGGGCATCACGTGAGCCTCATCTGATTGGTCAATCTCTCCATTTCTTTTTCACCAAGGGAAGCCAATTTCGGCTGGCCTCCTCTCGCAACAGTGAGTGCAATCTACTGTTTCACCATAACATCTAGAGGGGCGCTGTTTCACTCTTTGTAAAATACTCAATGAGAATGGGGGAGAGACGGGCCGGCAGCAACACACAACAAAGAATTTCCGAAACTAAACGAAGTGTTTTTATTTATTAAAATTATAAATAACTACACCGAAAAAACAGGGGAAGCCTGGCTTCCCTTGGCCTCCAGGAGAAAACACCACTGCAAACCCCGCCCCCTCCCTGAAAATAATGAGTGACAGGCTGATAGTGACCCGATAGAAACTTTATTATTCACTTAATCACTGATTGAGATATGATGACGCTAACTTAGTCTCATACATTCATGGGATTTGTGAGAGAATGTAAGTGTGCACCCACATGCAGTATTTTTGTTTGTATAATGCTGTTGTAAATACTCCTGTTGTCTGCTGTGTTCAGACTTAAGTCATGTTTGTGATGCCACATTCAGGACATTCAGTATCCTTTTTTTTAACAGAAGACCGTTGCTAGACTGCAGAAGTATTAGTTTTTGAAGATGGAACAATTTCACACACAGATATAGGGAGGCTAGACCATACAGATTTATTATGGTTTATAATGTAATGTCAAGACGAAGAAGAAGATGAAAAAGATGGCTGAACTGTTCAGTGTCAATCCTGTGGAGATGGAGGTTATAAATCTCCAAAATCATGTTCAGCTTAAGTCTCAGCAAAACTCTCAACATTTCTGGAGCCTTGTAGACCCAGAAACCGATAAGAACATTCACCAAGCAGCACTGAACATACTGCTTTATTTGGTTCTGTTCTACAGACCTTTGTGAAGCAGCTTTTTCTGACATGAATGTCATGAAATCTAAATACAGAACAAGACTGACTAATGAACATGTAAGTGACTCTATTAGAGTGAACCTAAGTGGGTCCAGCATACACCTCTATGGTGGACTCCATGCAGTGCCATTCATCTCGATAACTGTAAAAAAGAGTGAATGCACTTATAAGTGCATACAATGCTTGTCAGGTGGTGATTAAGGACATTTATGTGAATTGTCAGTAATTACTATGTGGGCCATAATAATATGTGAGAAATGTTCGTTTTCTTGGACCTTGATGTGAAGTTAAGATTTGTGATAAGCTTTAGGTATTGCAATTTCACACGTGTACAAAAGTAGTTTAATTCAACCGATGAGTGCTATATGAATAAATGTAAGCGATGTGATGCAAGTAGCTCTTGGCCACTTTCATTTTTTCAAAGTAGCTCTCAGATGAAGAAAGGTTGGAGACCCCTGTGTTAGAGGAATCCTCTGCTTATTGATGACGTTTGACCTCTCTGCTCCTGTAGGTGTGGGCGATTGACAAGAAGAAGTGGAGGCCGGGCAGAGTGGAGCACTCTGTGGGTTGGCCCCTGAACAGAAACACATACGGAGGGTCCTTCCTGTATCACCTGGACGAAGGAGAGCCGCTGGTGGCGCTGGGCTTTGTGGTGAGAGGCTTTGGACATCCTGACAGTGATGTAAACATGTGTGACAGCTGGATGTCATGCAGGCAACAAAAAAGCAACCCACGGTTCTGAATAAATAGTCGAGTCGTGGGTGGCATTCTATTATCACTGAATCTTATGTATCCTACAGAGGGGCAATAAATAAATCCATGATTGCTTATTTGCAATTCACTGTGATGTCCAGATGCAAATATACCGTAGATTATCATAGTTACATATAGCTCAGTTGAAAAATAGCATGTTTGCTTAGTTTTAGTCTGCTCACAATACCTCTAAACAACAAAATAGACATTGAGTTAATAAACAATTCTCAATTTTGTAAATTCAGAAGCACCACCCCTGACAGTTATTACAGCTTTAAATCTTCTTGCTTATGCATCTGCACACATGGACACGGTGGCGGCCAACGCTTTTTGCAGATTCTCCTAACTTTGGAACTCGGCAACAATTTCATATTCATACCATTCTCCCAGTGCCACTGAAAGACAATCTTCTTTTGTTATGCATCACAACGTGACAGAGGTTGTTGACCTTGTTTTGCAATGTGATGTTCGTAGCTACAGTATATGAAGACAGTTTAAGTCCTCTCTGGATTTTTATATTAACTGTGATTTTTAATTTAAGCTGTAGAGACATTAAGGTGGATTAAAGCTTGATTTGTAGCGTCAATACCAAGAGTGTAAATCTTGTCTAGATTGATGGCAACACTAGATTAAATAGAAAAACTAAATTATTAATATTTTAAAAGCCACAATAGGTAACCTGTTTTCAATTAATTGATTTAGACTAAGTTCACACATTTGACGTTGTTGGCTGAAAACCCACTTTGTTTAGTTTCAAGTGCACCCTGGCCATACAACGTATACAAAAGGTCCATTAAGACGAATGCACTGACAATGGTCTTGATCATTTGAAGCGTATATACCTGCAAGTTCTGAGCTAGTATCTTCATAGTTGATTGCACTTATGTCAGTTGCTTTGGATAAAGGCCTCAGCTAAATGTAATGTATATGTGTTTCCTACTCCAGATTGGTCTGGACTACTCCAACCCTTACCTGAGCCCCTTCAGGGAGTTCCAGCGCTGGAAGCATCATCCCTCCGTGGCTCCCACGCTGGAGGGTGGCACCAGGATCGGATATGGAGCCAGGGCTCTGAACGAAGGAGGGATACAGGTAGGGCCCCGCTATACAAAATTATTTAGATACTTAAAGGTCACCTATTATGCAAAATCCACTTTTTCATGTCTCTTCTACATCAACATGTGTGTCCTCTGTGGAAAGAGATTCTGAAAGTTTCAGGAAAAAGATTCTCTCACTTTTTGTCCTGATCCATTTCTATAAAAACCTGTCTGAAAATGAGCTGATCAGATTTTGGCTACTTTGTGATGTCATAACGATTTTGTTTGGCTTGTGTTACCATTAGCCAATCAGCAACCAAGGTATCTGAGACCTATAATATATTGATGAAAAAAGTATAATAGGGGACCTTTTAAGTAACAATGAGATATTATTGCTTGACTAAACTGTTTGTCATATGCTGAGTATTGGGAAAACATATACTGCAACTTATTAACTTTTTTCAACTTCAAAAATGTCAACATCTTTTTAATCCAATGATGTTCTTTTTGTTTTGACCAACTTCCTGCCAATGCTGATGACCTCGTCAAATAAAATCTCGGCACCATCTAGTGGACTATAAAAGCTATTCTTACCGAAAAAGTACATGTATTTCCACTATTAATTATTAATATAATAGTCAGAACTTAGCCTCTCTGTGTATTGATGCAATATTGCTTCAAGTAGCAAACTGCTCTCCTGCTGATGGCCCTCCTCCTCGCCCTAATGCTGACAGAGTGAGTGCTGACAGGCTCATTCTGACAGAGTATGAGAGCAAGTATCCTCCAGTCGGTGCTCATGCCGGAAAAAAAGGATGTCAGACAAATGGATAGGAGCCGGAAATGGATCATAAAAAGCAAAGTGGCAATGTTAGTCTATTATACATCAGGGAACAACGAAGCCTTGATATGTTGTCAATATGTTGTTTTCATGAAAGATCAAAAACACTGGGATGAAGTGCTCCCCTGCGCCTGGCCAGTGTTTGCCAGAAAAACGACGTGTGGACTAACACTGGGATTTCTGACTAAACATAAAATAGCTGCCAAAATAAACACTGTCAGTTAAAAAAAACTGTAACGGATGGAAGACTGTTCTGCATGACTCAATGAAACACTTCTATTTACGGATTGATTAAATGCATTCCTACTTTCATATTTAATTAAAACCATTAGCTGATTCTTCATTTACAATCTAATTTACTCTGCAAACAAGTCGTCGTTGTTACAGCATGATTACAACAGAAATTGGTTCATAAATGTAAACATCAAGGCCTTGTAAGTCATTTTTTTCAATCTGTTGGAATCTGGTGTTTCATCAATCTGCCTTATTTAGTTTTTACTCTATTTTAATAACGAAACGTTTTTTAGAAAAGGACCGATAACACACTCTGATCACTAAGATATGCATTATTACTGCGCAAGATTAAAGATTACAAATATGGTTATACAAAGAAATCCGAGCCAAGTAGTATAGACAAAGAATACATTTAGAAGTGTCCTTATTAGAATGTTGGATATAGGAAAAACGTGGTGTTATTTTAGGACTGTTTTGGATCTGTTTTTGAGTAGTTTCATTATTCATCTAAAAATGTAGATATGTAAAAAATGGTAATATGATTTTTGTGAATAATATTAGAAGTAAGCACAGCAGCTGCTCAGTCACATTGAAGGTCAGCTGAGGTGCTGCTGCTGGATTCCTTCCAGTGGAGTCCAACAGGGAGGAGACCCCGCAGCTGACCCCAAACAGGCTTTAGGGATTTACTGTCCCCTCTGTCCTGGGACTCCTCAGGGTCCTCCAGCATGACGTGGAGAAGGAAGTCTGGACTACCTAAAACAACCTTACTTCCACTGTGACCTTGAATCACATAAGACACAGGGGGTGTTTCTCAATGTCAAGGAAGGATGCTCCAGAGCCACTATTTCAAGGATGCTACGTCATCGAGTCCCAGCCGAAGGACTGTTCCAATGTCCAGGATACTTGGAATTCTACCGAGCCCGGCTTCCTTCGTAGCAAGACATTTCGAGGCTGCACATGAGTATCCTCCACGGTCTTAAAATCCCCACAATGCTTTGCGCACGGACTAATTTCCAAAGCTTTGGCGGAAATCGCGCTCGATTTAAGGCGGGGCCTCGCATATGACGCAGACCTGTTAGCCTGTTCCACCATTCTTCGTTTTCCGAGGCTAGGAAGGATTCTTGCCTCGCTTCTGAAACAAGTTACTCGGAAGACATGTCCTACCAAGGAAGCGTCCTCGACATTGAGAAACACCCAGACAATAATATAAACTTTACGTACAGCGAAATTCAAAAACAGCAACCATGAAGGAGCTCTGGTTTGGTCAGTGGGGATGAAGTATTAATTGGTACTATCTCAGTTAAATTGTGTTGCCAATGAATTTCTTGGTGTCATGAAATCTGGAATGCAATGTGATTAAACCCTCACTCATCCTGTTAGAAAAATACAATTATACAAAAAAAGAAGATTATATTAGAGGTAACTTAAACACACCAACCGGCCGAAATACAGTTTGACAGAGCCACACTTTACATACAGGTGTGTGTGGAGGGAACTATATATTTAAAAAAAAAACATGAGAAAAGGCTATTACTAGTTGTAATAGTTTGTTTATAGAAAGGATTTAAAGATGAAACTTGAACAAACTGACTGAGAAAATAAGGTTTGTGAAATCAACTGCAGGTGATTTTCAATACATTTCTGAGTTGATGGAAACCGGCGTGCAAAACGTTCACAATTCAGATCACCTTCTGGAAAGTGGATGACTGGATTGAATCCATCAATCTTTTGTCAGAAATTAATATAAGAAATGACCATCTGTTTTCTTAAGATATTGTTTTTTAATTGAATATGTTTACGTATATCAAGTGCCTTTTTCAGTTCACATGCGATACTTGCTTTGTGGACATTCTAGTAAATCTACAGACATATTGTTGCTGTTAAATACTTTCACATCGAGCATTCTTAGGATTTTGGAAAGTTAAATTGGATAATAAAAATGTCACAAAAGGTTATCGTAAAAAAAGAATGACATTTGGTGTTACAATCAATATATTAAAAAGATTTAGTTTTCCAAGATTATTTCATAATTAACAGCATAAAAAGTGTCTGAAACAAACAACAACTTACATCAAATGATAGATAAGCATTGATAAGTAACAAGAACCTTTCATTCAGTGTCAAAACATCCTTCATCTTGTTCGTAAAATATGGCTTCTTTCAAAATAATCCACTTCAAGGTGACTGTGGCTCACACCAGGAGGAGCGTGCAAGAGGTTTCAAAAGGACATTCACTGAAGATGTAACGTTCGTGAGACTGAAGGTTACGACCGGTGGTTTTAGTACTTCAGAATTAAGGAGGCAGGCCGTGGAATATGGCCTCTATAAAGAATCACCTGTGCGATACAAATGAAAGTCCTCCATTAAAACTAAGGATCAGGTCCCATCTCTCAAAGGCTGGCTCAACATTATGAGTTGGTTCCCCTGGAATATCTCTCAAATGTTTTACATGCCCAATCTGACCACTTCTATCCAATCTGGCAGCCTTGCTTACATTTCCTTGGACCTGAATTGTCGGCTGTTATTGTTAAAGGAACCTCATGAAACTCCTGTAATCATAAATTCATAATACATAATACATGTGATACTCCTGTAACCACCTATAAGGGAGGGGTTAGTGCGTTGGTGTTCGGATCAGGGGGTCACAGGTTCAAACCCCACTGCAGTCAGCATGTAGTTGTGCCCTGGGCAAGAGACTTCACCCCAAATTGCTCCTGTGGGGATTGCCCACAGTATTGAGTATGTAAGTCGCTTTGGATAAAAGCGTGTGGCAAGGCAAGGCAAGGCTTATAGCACCTTTCAACACAAGGCAATTCAAAGTGCTTTACAAAAAACGAAAGACATTAAGAAAATGGCATTTAAAAATAAAATAAACATTAAAAGAAAAAATACATGGATAAAAGTTACAGTGCAGTTTAAGATGTGAATAGTGTAATGTGTGTTTGAGACTCAGCTGTTTTTGTTTTTTGTCATGTTTTTGTTCGCTTTGCTTTGTAATGATGTATTTGTCATGTATATGCTACGTCGTTATTGTGTTGTAAAAATTGTAAAAACCAATAAATACATTGTTTAAAAAATGAAAAACGACATGAACTCTCTCCTCTTCCTCTCTCCTCTTCCTCTCTCCAGTCAATCCCAAAGCTGACCTTCCCAGGAGGTTTACTGATAGGCTGCAGCCCTGGCTTCATGAATGTCCCGAAGATCAAAGGCACCCACACGGCCATGAAGAGCGGCATGCTGGCTGCTGAGGCCATTTTCCCTAAAATCACAGCAGAGAACCCGGAGTCAGAGACGTTAGGTACAAAATGTGAACCCCATTAATAATCATGATGGTGGCAGCAGTACCTGTGTGCATCTCATTTCAGGTACCGAGGTTAAAGTGAGTTAAAACCCAGAAACGGGTCTATACAGGCTCTCTGAAGTTACATAACCGTACACACTGCAACACCGCTGGGTCATATCAGGTCGGATCAGAATCAGGTTTATTGCCAGGGAGGTTCACACATACGAGGACATTGACTTGATGTCATGGTGCATACATCAAATATAAAACAAAAAATCCATAAGGACTCCGTAATAAAATATAGTTAAATAGCAATAAAGCTGTAATTTACATGGAAATAGAATGCTATGAATGAATTATAGGATATGAAACAAGAAATATGTGCAGTATGAACATTGTGTGCATTAATGTAATGCATATAGAGAATACGTTGTGGCAGAGGTAAAGTGTCAGTGGGGGGGGCCGGGCCTTGTTTAAGAGGCCGGTAGCGGAGGGGAAGAAACTGTTCAGGTGGCGAGAGGTTTTGGTCCTGATGGAGCGCAGCCTCCTGCCAGAGGGGAGGGGGGTGAACAGTTTGTGTCCAGGGTGGGAGGGGTCTGCCACTATCTTCCCTGCCCGCCTCAGGGTTCTGGAGGCGGGCAGGTCTTGGAGGGATGGCAGATTACAGCCGATCACCTTCTCTGCAGAGCGGATGACCCGCTGCAGCCTGCCCTTTTCCTTGGCTGTGGCTGCGGCGTACCAGATGGTGATGGAGGAGTAGTAGGATGTCAGGTAGCACAGCATTTGTAAGCTATAAAAGGTCAGGCAATAACTTCTTTACAATGAGTTTTCCAAGCCACTTGAGAACTAAACAGAGGCTGCACATGGGACACACTCTTGCAGCTACATCAATAAAAAGAACTGTAATGGCTGTAAAAATGTCAGTGGGAACAGCTTCAAGAATCATTCTAAAAAGATCGATATGATCCATCTTGGTGGAGCTGCGGTGACTTATTTGCTCAAAGGGATAGTTCGTATGAGGTTATCTGTAATCAGAGAATTATTTACTGTCGATTGCAGTCGGCTCTCAAAAGATGAATAGCAGTACAGTACACAAAGAAACTCACCAATCGAGGCACAAAGCACTCCTGTGTTCTGTTAAAAATAAAGCTGGTTGCTTTGAACAGAGCTTAGTAAGCAGATCATGTTCCCTTTATTCTAAGTATAGGGTCTTTTTAAAGCGGTTTGTTTTACCCATGCTTATGTCAGCTTTTCCAAACTGGGAGCGCCATCTACTGCAGCTAAATCACTGACTATGAATCTCATTATACTCCACTTCAATTATCCTTTTTAATAGTTAACGTCATGTTTTACATGATTGTGTTCATTCTCTCTAGCTCATGACAAATAAGAATGGACTCAAATGCAAATGGTCGATAGTCAGGAAGAGAAAAACTGATGAATAATTATATCTTTAAGGTTATATTTACCCGAATAACTTCATTACCTGCAGTGGTCTTGTGTTGTCCAGATAGTATTGCTTTCATGCGCCAGAGTTTGAAGTTATCCGCCCCTAAAACGTCTGCTACCATTCCAGTTTTATTGAGTTTGATGCAATTTAATGTTTCTCAAAATGTAACAGCAGAGTGTTTTTACCACAAAAAGGTGTCGTAAAAAAAAAATCCACAATATTGTATAGGGATTATTCCTTCTAATGCAAAATGTTAAGCTTGAAATCCCTGTTGAAATAGTCATTATTTTGTAAACCTTCACTGGTTAAGGCCCTATTCTTCAAGGCTTTGTGCTACAAATGTGCAGGAAAGGTTAGCATGACAACAGCGAGGACATTCGTTCAATGTGTGTGTGTAATTTCTTCATTTGAATCCTCCCAAGGCCTCCATGTACCTGAGTACGCTGAGAGCTTGAAGAAGTCGTGGGTGTGGAAAGAGCTGTATGCAGTCAGAAACATCCGGCCGTCCTTCCACAATTACTTTGGTCTGTACGGGGGCATGGTCTACACCGGGGTCTTCTACTGGATCTGCAGAGGAAAGGAGCCGTGGACGCTCAAACACGCTGGTGAGTAGCACAGTGTTCATCATATTCCTACGGATGTGGCCTAATAGTTCACAAAGGAGGACTAATTGTAGAAAAATTTATAATCCTTACTTACAAGAAAGCTCATGTATCAGAGCAGCGGTTTTCAAAGTGTGAGGCGCGCCTCCCCTGGGGGGCGCCAGAGAGCTTCAGGGGAGGCGCAGCGTGAGAAAGAAATAACGAGAAACAGTTAAATCTAGCTAGTTAACTTCAGCTAACTTTATGCGAGCGGCAACATGGATCGATTTTTTGTGAAGTTACCTAAAGTGAAAGAGGAGACGGCGTCTGGCAGAAAACGCCACTTGGCTGTCTGTGGAGACCGAGTTCCCCCACCTCGCCAAAAAGGCTGTAAAAGTGCTCATTCCCTTCACCTCCGCCTACCTGTGAGAGTGCCGGTTTTCCGCATGGACTTGAATCAAAAGCAGGGGCGGATCTACCGGGGTGGCATGGGGTGGAAACTGCCCCCCTAAAAATAGCCTTGCCACCCCAGTTGGCAGCTTTGTTTTTTAAATAAAAGTTGTGGCTCATCGGACATTTATGAGAGAAAATCCCTAATGTCCGAGTGCAAGTGAATGCAGCACAAGACGCAAGCCTTGTAACCCCTCCCCCGGTGCGAGCGAGGAAATGTGATTGGCGGCGATTTCATTTGAACGGGACGGCGCATTCGGACATTCTGACCTTTTATATATACAGTCTATGATTCGGACCCAAGTAGACGGAAGGAATGAGGTATTTGTGGTCTACAATGACAGAGAAGAGACTGTCAAGTTTGGCTGTACTCAGCATCGAATCAAAACGCACTAAAGCTTTAGATCTTAATAAGTCTGAGGCGTTTTGCTGAACAAGATGGTAATCGCCGCATTCAGCTGTTATAGACATGCCAACTTGATGCTCTGCTCACGGACGACTCGATAAGCATAAAGAACTGTTAAGATGATGACCTTACGTGTGTAAATATTTTTTTTTCTTTGTGGGGGTCTGCCCCCAAAAAACAGTTTTACGTCCTGAGAAAGTCAAATAAGACGGTGAGTAAAACTCCACTGCCCAGCCACTTTGATTTAACTAGGCCAGTAGGTAGGGGCATTCCACTGGATAATAATACCCCTGCATTATAGCAACAACAACAATAATAATAATAATAATAGCAATAATAATTGGGAGGGGGGGTGCGGCTGTTCTTATGTTCTCTGAGGGGAGGCTCACCTTCCCACACTTTGAAAACCCCTGTATCAGAGGTTTATAGTCTCAGAAAGTTGTAGCAGATAATACAAAAGCTTAACTGCTACAAAGGTTTTCACATACAAGGAGCATACAATACAAATATTAAGAGGAAATGTATTTTCCTTTGTTTTCTCAGGACAATTCACATTTAGATTCAGGGGGAATCCTGGCCCAAACAGCAGCAACAAGTGCTATTACATGAATAAACGAATAAAAAAAAAGATTTTTAAACAACAAATTACATAAAAAATGAATGAACATTAAGCAGTAATTACAAACGGGACATTTTCACTCAGTGGTCAAATAGTCCTTGTTTGATAGAGTTACTGTAATGAAGAGACAAAGGCAGCAGTAAAGTAGAATAAACATGGAGGGTTTTCTTATCCTGAATTGTGTCTATTTTATACAACTTTATTGCAAAGAACCAGTTTCAGCTGCTTCTAGGTGTGTGGATTATTGCTTTGGAATAACCGTGGACTGGATTAAGAAAACCTGGAACGGAGTTTTGTGGATTATATTATTTTTGTTGGACTATTTTTCATGAACTATATATATATTGCGTAAACCCTTTCACTCACATAGGACTCACTGATCATTCAACTATAGAATATATTATTGTGTCTGCATTTAAAGAGACATGTTGTGTGTTTTTGTTCAAATGTATTAATTTACTAGGTAACAAATACAGAAATATTGAACTGGTTAAGAGGGACATGTGCTGTATGTTTTCCCGTCGGTAACATGTACCCTTTGTAGAGTTTGACTCAACCCCAGCAACTTTAGTCAAACCTTTACAACACTTCATTATAAGAACCACCAGCTCAGTGTAGTGACCTTACTTGAATGTATGAAGGATATCACACATGCAGTGGAGCAGTGTAGATTTCTAATGCTGTTGTTTATCAGAGGAAATCCACATTTGGTAACAGCAGTGCTCCATCTCTCTCAGGCCTCGACGCCGACCAGTTGAAACCAGCTAAAGAGTGCACCCCCATCGAATACCCCAAGCCCGACGGGAAGATAAGCTTCGACCTGCTCTCCTCTGTGGCTCTGAGCGGCACCAACCACGAGGGGGACCAGCCCGCCCACCTCACCCTGAAGAACGACAGCGTCCCGGTGGAGAGGAACCTGGCCATCTACGACGGGCCGGAGCAGCGCTTCTGCCCCGCAGGTAACACTGACACCACAATATACATACATATAAGTCAAAGTCAACTTTATTGTCAATCTTCCAGTTTGTGTGTACAGACAGACAAAATACCGTTTCCCACAATCCCAAATATAAAAACAAATGTTTATAAAAATATGTGTGCAAATATGTATATATACACACACATATGTGACCCGTCGGAAGTCGCAACGGCTCATTTCAAAATAAACGTGGATTTGCGTAAAAAAATATTTTTCGGGGTTCTGTGTTTTGTTTGATTTTAAATAAACTAAGTCTTGGCTTTCAGAATATGAAACTTTTATTTCCAAAACCACACGATAAATACATTCTTGAAGCTTGTAAAGGGAAGATGACAGCTCTCACTCGCACCCTGCTCTTCTGAAACTACTGAAGTGGAACACCTGCTGATTGTTGTTAACAAAAAATCAAAAACATTTGAGCTTTACGTGTTTACCGGGTTTATCCAAGGTCTCCAGATGAGGACAAAGACACCTGGTTTTCTCTCTGAACGCTGTGAAAACCTAATGATGTGCAGCATGGGGTGAAGAAGCCTCTGCAGAGAGATGCTTTGTGACAAAGAGCTGAGGGAGTGGGAATAAAACAGGAAGCACTTAGTGCAGAAACTCTCAGGTTAATAACTTTTATAATAATGACATTGTTGTTTTCTGGCAGCAGCAATTTGGGACAGCTGATCCCTTTAACATGAAATAAACGTTAAATATTATACTCTCCCTTTAGAGTCTAAAGGATTTGATCACTGTTTCATCCCTGATTTAATTAACCTCCTTTAGAGTCACATGTCGTGCGCCACCCAGCATCAGGCTAATCTGTAGGTAATTAACCTGCATAGTGTTTATAAAGCGCTTCGGTTTTAATGACTTTTATAGATTAATGTCTCTTTAATATAATTAACTTCTCTACACAATGCACCTCTAGTTTTATGCATAATTAGATAACTAGGCTGTATAAAAGAGAGCAGCGTTTACCAATGATGCAATCAATATCCACAGCCGTATGAGAGCCGGTTATATTCCTGTAAACCTTTTTAATACAAAATACATCGAGACAATTGTTTTAATCATTAAAGGGGTCCGGTTATGCTCATTTTCAGGTTAATATCTGTGTGTTGGAGGGAACTTTGGGAAGTTAGCCCTGCAGACCACTTACTGCACATGCACAACAACCTTTATAACACCCTACAGGAAAGGGAAACCCCCAACAAGTAGAATAGGGCTGCTTTAAAAAGATGAAACTCAGCTGTGTCCACATCACGCTGCTGCTGCTGAGAGTTCTCACACTATATGGTTTTATTGTTCCTGACGGTCAATTGCAAGTATTTGTAAAATAAATACAATTATTACATCTTACAGTAAGCATGGTTTAGGATACTTATGTTCAGTGAAATAAGTATGTTCTTCTGATTCCTGGCATCATGAAAACAGAAATGTATTGACCTTTTAAAAAGGGCAAATTGTCATTAGTATTTGATAACTCCCTTGAAGGTCACCTATTATGCAAAATCCACTTCTTCACGTCTCTTCTTCATCAACATGTGTCCCCTCTGTGGAAAGAGATGCTGAGAGTTTCAGGAAAAAAGATTCTCTCTTTTTGATCCATTTCTATAAAAACCTGTCTGAAAATGAGCTGATCAGATTTTGGCCACTTTATGATGTCATAACGATGTGTTGTCTTGTGTAACCATTAGCCAATCAGCAACCAAGGTAACCCCCCCCCCCACCTTATCACCTGAATCTCCTCCTAGAGCACTATTGTGTTCTTTTTAACCAAATCTCTCTGAGGGGCGTGGGGAGGGGCTCCTTATTCTCATCTAAAGTAACACAGAGAATCAGCCCTTTTGAAACAGAGGGGATTATGGGACACAAACTAACGTGAATATTTCAGTCTTTCTCTGTATTTGTCGATCTAACTACATTACTTCCCCCCCAGGTGTGTACGAGTATGTTCCCCTGGAAACTGGAGATGGGATGAGGCTTCAGATTAATGCTCAGAACTGTGTCCACTGTAAGACGTGTGACATCAAGGACCCGAGCCAGAACATCAACTGGGTGGTGCCTGAGGGCGGAGGAGGGCCAGCCTACAACGGGATGTGAACATCGTGTTTTTTTTAACCTTTTTTGTCTAGAAAGATGACTGTAAAGTATCATCCAGGGCTGCAGTACTTGCCAGCGATGGTGAATGTGCCTAATTATGGAACAGGAAGTAAATACATAACTGGGTTTAAAAGGTATGAAAAATTAAATCTGCAAAAAGCAAGGATATTAGAAATATGAATGCCTTTTTTGTCATAGAAATCCTTAATTTATGCAGTTATATTACATTTAAAATGTGGCATTGGTTGTGAAATCCATCCAAACAGGACCATTAAACTGAGCTTTGATCAAACGTTGCAGTTGCTTCATAACGGCTATAAAACAATATGGGCATTTTAAAGTAGTTTTACAATAAAGTGGATCTTTAGCCGCTTTCACATCCCAGCACTTAGTTCCCCCATGGAACTAAGAGCAGATCGCGTTCACACAGGAATAAGTCCCCTGACTGAAGATTACGCAAATGAAGCCGCTGGCGTCACTTCTTCTTCTTCTGCTTGGGGTTACTGGCAGGCCGCAAACAACTTCACGGCGTATACTGCCACCCCAAGTCCCCGGAGTTGGGGAGTCTTCCGAGAAATCGGCAGAACGCGACTCCACCGCTCCCATGTTTTCTTTTGTGTTGCCATAAGTTAGTCTCTCTCCGTTGGTGCGCGGGGCTAATGCTAATAATGCTAATTCCAGCAAATACAATGGCGGCTTCACAAAACCTTTCAGTTTTACGGGGCGTGGTTTGCAATTTGTCCATTCAATCAGCAATTGGAACTTTTTTCTCCCCAGGAAAGAACCAGCTCTCTAGCAGGGACTGAAAAGGGGGGGGAAAGTTCTCATGAACCAAGTTCTCTTTTTGGTGTGAACGTAAAATCCCAGGAACTATCGGAACAAGTATTCCGGTGTGAAAGTGCGTATTGTGTTTTAAAACGAGGTACCCAACAAACTAATAATATATTTCCTCTGTAAATGAACAAGCAGCTCTCAAATTCAGGTTTATTCAGCATTTATTCCAGGAATATTTGGACAGCATTTGATCTGCTCAGTATTGTACATAAAATCATTCGATGATATCACACTAATGAATAAAGCACTTGACTTCTTGTCCTTTTTGTTTTATTCTCTGTAAAAAACATAAATAGACAGGTTGATGTAGGTTGTGTGGCTAACGGCACTGTATCAAAAATCCTTAGCGTGAAACTAAACAACATATACAGTAAATGCTTTGCTGAACTCCCTGGAACGAGGGCCGGTGATAGATGTTAACCCACTTTTTCAGAGCAGTGGAGTCAGCCATGCATCAGACTAACGCTCAAACTATTCATTACAGTGAGGACACGTGTCAGTATTAAGACAGGTCGAAGCTTACAACAGTTATTCCCTTAAAACAACACAGACGCTGAGATGTGGCAGCTTGAAAACATGAACAGACCTGCAAACTGAAAACACTTCACCTGCTGACAGACCGAGTGCAGCTCCACACGCACACATGAATTCAAATATCGATAAACGTTGCGAAAGAGAATTCATTGCATTAGGCGAGGTATTTACGCAAACATTTTGGCATAGATTTTCTTCTCCTTCTCCTTCTCCAGCTGGATAATCAGCTGAACTCTCTTCAACTCTTTGCTGATAGCTGCCAAAAGAAAACACTTTGGATTAGATCAACAAATCAAAGTGACTTATGTTTCATCTTTGGTGCTGGGATTTCAAACATTGCTTTTCACCTTTGCAATCATTTTGCACATCACGTTTAAATACAGATGGGGGGAGAGACAGATGGGGGAGAGACAGGGGTGAAGAGAGAGACAGAGGGGAGTATTTTTTTTTAAGGCACATTGAGAGCGTAAATCGTACTTATCGCTCGCTTTTACACATCTCCAAACAGCCGATAAACTGCTGCTTCAAATATCAGAAAGGAGCTGCAGATTTGCAAAGAGCTCAATTTCACCCAGTACACTCAGCTTTGAGATATTAGGGGGTTGAAACACTTCCAAATTGTTCCCCTAACTCGTATCTAACAGTATGATACAAGATGACTTTCTGGCGGCAATGTCCTCCCCAGGGCTCGAGCTTAGGGGCGTCCCGTCGTCGAAAAAAATAGGGTCGGGGAGGATAAAAAAAAAAGTTGGGACGAGAGTTAAAATAAAAATACCCTGCGAACGCCGATGAAAATGAAACCGACTGCACGTTTTGTGTAGCACACAGTTATTAAACCTCCTTGTCAACAAACACACACAAAACATTTAGCAACCCGCGAAATACACACACACACACAGAGAGAGTAGTATACCGACAGCCAGCGGCACAGCTGTCCGCGAATAATGAGAACTCTCCATCGCATTCAGTCCTTAGCAATATGCCGCGCCTCTCCCCATGTAGGATGGGTACCGAGCCCCGGTATCAAACGGGCCCCGGGCCGGAATTATTAAAGAACGTGGTACCGTTAAGCTCCGACGTTATGGTACTGGAGACATTTAAAAAATATACGTCTTATTGCTACATAAACATTATATCGCAGTTTTAGTTTCGCCAACTCCGTTTCTAATATGCAATAAGACTACAAAATGCGTCCGATGTATTTTCGATCTTTCCAATCCAGGCGTCTGTGCGAGGGGGCGGGGCACTTTGTAAAGGTCTCCTGACTGTTTCATCCTGGTTACTCTGGGTTCTGTCTTCAGGACAGTGTGTTGGATGGGACTTGATTGGATTCAATATTAGAGTAACTTTCTCGTTTTTTAAATATATTTGGGCTTTGTTTCTGTGTTTGACTGATTTCCTCAAATAAAAAGGTTGATGAATGATCATCTAGATTTGTATGATGTTTTATTGATGTTAAAGGTCACTTTGAATGATTTTAACTAATGATAATGTAGAAAAACTAATATTTTAAATTCGGGACGGTCCACATTAATTTCGGAACGGCTTAGATTGGATTTCGGGAGGATGGTGAAAAAAAGTTAGTCGAGAGCCCTGGTCCTCCCATCAATCTATCTCTAAAGAAAGCCATACATTAAGCTGCTTAACTGTAAATATTGAACATAGCCACATTAATAAAAAGGAATATATTCAGTTCCTTTAGAACTTGAAACACTGTTTGAGGAAGATAAATCACAATGACTCAGCCATTGTGTTTATGTGAAGTACTTGCATTTAACAACCGTCTGATAGCATTTTATCGTGAGTCACTCTCAGATCAAAGTAGATAAATAATAGGTATTTTCTTTTAAAAAATGGGTACACAGGCTTTTGTTGGCTTGACAAATCCTCTCAGTCTAGGAAGTGAATACAGCCATACTCCTAAGTTTGTTATTCTTGAGCAACTACCCTGAGATAATGATGTTTCGGTCGCATGCTGCTCAGACAGAACACAGCTACTTCATTCCCTCAATCAAATCAAATCAGGACAGGATGTTTTCTTGCGGTCCTAGGACTATTTTTCTTCATGAGCTCGCATACTAAATTTGAATAATACACGTGAATATGCATGAAATGTCAAAACAAATATGCAAAATGTGGGAGACGGCGGCACATTGTTTGCATCATTCTTGGAATTGATCAAGACTGAAGAGACAGACAAATGTTGATTCCCCACCTTTGTCTTCTGGAGCTACTGCGTGCGCTTTCTTCAGATCAATCTGAAAGGAGAAGAAAACAATTGGGGGAGTCAATGTGACCTCAGAATGCCCCCGTATAATTACTGTCTGCAAAACCAATGCATTCTGTTTTATCTCGTATAAACCAGGGCATGTCATAATGAAAGAAATGAGCATTGTTCTCACCCAATGCCAAAAAGACCTACGATACATTACAGAACCGTTGCTAGTAAAGCTGTACACCAAGTAATCCATATTTTTAGACATACATCATTGTGTACATTTTCAACTGTCAGTGGGCAGGATATCTTCATTTTTAACTGCTATTTTAATCCTGTGTGTGCGTGTGTGTGTGTGTGTGTATGTGTTACCATGGCTTGGCTGTTCTCCTTCAACCCCTGCCAGGACTGGGCCCTCCGGAAGAGTGCCTTAGTGCTCGCCTGGTCCAGCCCGAGAGCCTGTGAGACACAACAGAAAAACATCCGAAATGATCCTCCTTGAATGTTCTATTACATTTTTGCCATTCAAGTTATTTTATATATTAAATCTTCATTATACTTCCCCCAAAACGTATTAGGCAGGTGGGCTCCAGGCAACAAAATGTTTAAGTGCATTGAATCATATTTCTGCGAAGTTGATTTTATCATTCGAGAAAAAAAATTAAGTCAACTTTAAAGATAATACTCGTAGAAGGACACTCTGAAAAAGGCAGGCTTAAAGGTAACCCTAACCCTAATGGAGACACCCGCTCGAGTGCGCTAGAATTTGAAAGTACGCAGCTGAAAAAAATCTGCCCCTTCCTTCAGACTTCCTTACAGAGCCCCTCCTCCAACACACACATGACCAAGTGTTTCTGAAGAAATGTACCTACCCCACCTTTAATGCCCTATATGGCAATATTACCGATAGTGAAAACTGAAGAAGTAGTTCCGTAGGCCAGTCGTTTTTTTGTCATCTTACTGACAAACAAACAGACCATAAAACACACCATAATCCCCATGTCCTTTGTGGAGGTAGTAAATGGATAGTTTCATCAGTTTCACTCTGGGACAGATTCATCCCACAGGCCTTAAGAATGTTAAACACCTGAACTTTTGAAAGAACATCCATAACATTCATCTGTTTGCAACTTATATATATTAATATTCCAATTACTTGTATATAGACTACTCTATCATATTTTCTTTTCTTTGTCATAACTACACTGTAGCTATGTTCGAATGACAATAAAATCCTTGAAACTTGATATATTGCAGTTAAAACAAATGATTCACCGCTCTTTAACAACTGTACCTCGTTGCAGCTGTCCTGAGCGTCCTGCCACTGCTCCATCTTCAGATAGCAGGCGGCGGTGTTGAGGAAGCAGCTGAGGGCAGTGGGCTGCAGCTTCTTCTGCACCCCCGCCTCCAGCAGATCTCCACTCACCTCCATGTACCTGCACAGGGACAAACACACACTCATGGTTAGGGAGACACCAGCAGCAGATATGCATGCATATTCACAAAGTCATTTCTGCTCACTATTCCTCCAGTTGGTTCTTCTTGTTTCATGTGGATAGTGTATTTAAATGTAAGAAGCACACTTCCTTTAGCAGATTTAGCTCTGAAAACATAACCATTTCTGTTTAAAGGCATGTTCTATATTTTTCTTAATGGCAACAAATCCAATCAAAAATACCCTGGAAAAGCAAACTATAATCCTCGGCACTTTTGGGGTTTTTTAATACACTAATCAGGGGCTAAAAATAATCCCTAAACAAATGCTTTTTACTCTAATTTGACTAAGCTTGCTATAAAATATAGTGGCCAAAGGCTTTAGGAATTCACTGCCATTTTACAATTTAATGTTTATACCTGTGACTCATTTTTAAAGTCATGTCTTCAGTAGCAACACATGAGATTCAAGTTCATTTTTATAGCAATGCGGGACAACTGGGAACACACACACACACACACACACACACACACACACACACACAGTGTATTACCTGAGAGCCTTGCTATACTTGTTGATTGCACCTTTCCAGTCTTGACTCTTGAAAAGGTTGTTTCCAATATTTTTAACGTCCTCAGCCAGAGACAGAACTTTGTCCACCTGAGAGCAAAGAGAAAGAAAACAGAGTCGTAATGAGACGGGACAGAAAAACAAAACGTTGAGTCTACTTCACTTTGAGGTCAAATCAAAGAGAGATGTGGAAATAATCCATTAACCCTCGTTTTGGGGACAAGCCCTTGAATGTATTTGTTAAGCCCAACACGTCGTGGATCTCAATATTCATTTTCCCATCTGATTTTGGATAAGGCACTTTTCCCAAAAAGCCTTTAACGGGGACCCTCAGAGCCATCCGATCCGATCTGGCAGAGTGTACCTGTGTCCTTGAAGATCAAAGACCCCACGATACTCACATCTTTAAAGTCAACGTCGGAGTCCTCTGGGAATTCAGGGTGGGTGTCTCCTGATCCGTCGCTTGACTCCGCGCCCCAGCTGTCCCCCTCCTTATGCTCGCC